AACAGATTTTTTGGTTTGTAAAGATTAATAGTTGGTTCCAGGTAATGTAAATTGTAAATGCACTTAATTGTTTTATTTTGTAATTTCATTAATGGTTTCAAATGTGATATACTTGTGCTTCCCCAAATTGATATTAAATATTGTAATTTTGAGTAAATCAGACAGAAATATATATTCTTCAAATATCTAAGAGGAATGAAATTTCGAATTTTGTATAAAATGCCAGTAATTGGATTGAGCTTTTTTCTCAGGTGATCTATATGTTTAGTCCACGATAATTGTTCATCAATATAAAGACCTAAGAATTTTGTAATATCTAAATATTTTATGGCTTTCTGGTTGAAAAATATTGTTGTTTTCGACATATCAGTTTTTCTTTTTGAAATATACATATACGTAGATTTGTCATAGTTAAGGGTCAGCTTATGAATTTGTAGCCAAGATGATATCATTTTCAAGTCACTTTTTATATCATCAACTATATCGTTAAATTCTTTAGAGGAATAGATTATTGTAGTATCATCTGCAAATAACTTCAGATCTCCTTTTAGTTTCAAAGATGATATTGAATTGATGTAAATTAAGAATAAAATTGGACCTAAAACGGAACCTTGTGGTACACCACATTTGATTTCTCTTACGGAGCTACAAATATTATTGACTTCAACATACTGCTTTCTATTTTCCAAATAATTTGTTAACCAATCAAATATTTTTCCTCTTATACCTATTGAATATATTTTACTCAGTAAAATTTCATGATTTACAGTATCGAAAGCTTTACATAAATCTAAAGACAAGAGACCACATTTATAATTTTGATCAATTTCAAACTGAATATCCGAAATTACATCCATAACTGCTACCTCAGTGTCTTTCGATCGGCGAAATCCATATTGACCACTGTATAGCAGACCATTATTTTCAAGAAAATCAAGAATGCGCTTATTCATCATTTTTTCAATAATTTTTGAGAGGATCGGGAGAACTGAAATCGGTCTGTAGTTATTAAGGTCATCTCTTTTTCCAGATTTATGTATCGGTATGACTTTAGCAATTTTCATTTTATCTGGTACAATTCCAGTTTGGAAAGATATAGTAGCAACATACAATAAAATCGGAGCTAATTCTACTTTGATCACTTTTACAATTTTAGCAGATATTCCGTCGAATCCACAAGATTTTCGTACATCTAAGTCATCAATTATTTCTTCAACTTCTGAAATACTTGGCGGCATCAGAAACATAGATAGAACACTTGAACAGTCCTCCATAGACTGAGAATTTGTTGTTATTATAGAAGATAAATTTGGACCTACATTTATAAAATGATTATTAATTTCATTACATATTTCATGACAATCGTCAATTTTCACATCATCCACTGAAATATATCTGATATTTTCTTTAGAATTTTTTGATTTATTAAATATAAGTGAATTGATTCCATTCCAAATCATTTTAGGATTGGTATTAGTAAAATGTATATTATAGAATTTCTTTTTTGTTTCTCTTATTGTTTTTTTTTGCTAATCTATTGTAAAAATTATATTGTTCTTTAAAATAGTTGATATTGGGGTATGTTTTTTGTTTATAATGAAATTTATCACGTAATTTTATTATTTTACTAACATCACCATCAAACCATGGTTTGGAATTAGATTTTTGTCTGATCGTTTTAAAAAATGAACAATCATTGATAGTTATTTAACCAACTAGTGTATTAATGAGGGCGATTAATGATCGAGATATTTTAACGTGCGAGCGAAGCGAGTGCGTTAATGTTCGAGATCATTAATCGCCTTTTAATATACAAGTTGGTTACAAAATTTTTCCGTCGACTATATTTCTCATTTCTCCTGCAATGAAGAAAACTTGGTTCGCCAAATCATCATCCGTCCGGAAACTGCTAAGAATCACCCAGTAGCCTTGTTACTGACATTAGACACATTTGACATTTGTCGAAATGATCAACATAGCAAATAAATTCCTTGTGTTAGAAAACAGGGATTAATATCGTGTCAGAAACTTGGAAAGGCGAACCCGTTAACGGAAAATCGTCTATGAAATCCATATTTTCGATTTAAATGCAGATTCCGTAAGTAATAGCATACACAATGAATGCACGCGGTGTATGTTTGGTTGCCTATAAAACAATCGTGTATTAATAGACAAATCGTTCATTAATAGGGGTCATTAATGAACGATTTCATATACATTAAACTTAGTCGTTAATACGAGGTCGACGGAAAAAATATTTAATAAATCTTCATATACCTCATTGGGATCATCATAGTTATTTACAGTATCATTGAATAATTCCAAGTTTGTTTTCAATTTCTCTATATCATATATATGAATTAGCTTGTTCACAAATTTCTTATTTTCCAAGATTTGTAGAGGTATGTACGTTAAATAAAATTTATGATCACTTAAAGAGTTGTTGATAACAATCAAGTCAAGATTTTTGTCTGTATTAGTGACGAAATGATCGAGTAATGATGAATGTCTAGTTGGAATACTTTCATTACAATTCAAAAAATTATTAGATCTATAAATGTCTATCAGATCTTCAGATTCCTTGCTGTTTGATAATAAATTGATGTTCATATCACCAAAGAAAAAGCATTCACATTTGAATCTATTGACTGTATCAATTGTCCTATCCATGAAATTGAGGAAATCATTGATATTTATGTCTTGTGGTCGATAGATACCAGAAATGATGATTTCTGGAGATTTAATTTTGATGGATAAATATGTCAAATGAGTTTCTACTTTTTGAATAATTTCAAACTCAAATTTCGTATGAACAAAAATTCCAACACCACCTCCTCGTTTGTCACGACTTGCATATATCGAAGTGTAGTTCTTGAAATTATAATATATTTCTTCTTCTTTATTCAACCATGTTTCGGTTACGACAACAGCTGCAATATCCAGTTCATTAAAGATGGTTTCGAGTTCATCCATTTTATTTTTGATGGATCTTGAATTAAGATATAAAATCTTGGGTCCGTCACTGGCATCTACTTTTAAATCATCAATGGAACATACTTCAGATAATGTAATTATGGATTTGTTACTCATAATTTCGATTTTTTATTGTTGTTAAGTATTATAGTCAATTTGAAATTTCAATTGATTTTGATGAAATTTCAAAGTTTGGCAATTTTTATCTGTAGCTGAATGGTTCACGCAGTAATCTTTATTGTAACGATCGTTGGAATAGACACAATTATTGCATTTCAATTGTTCATTATTTTGGCGAAATCTAAGTTCATGTGGACCACAGCAGCGTGGACACACTATCTGATTCCTGCATTTATTCATTTTATGGTTAAACCCATAGCATTTATTGCACTGCGCAATAATATTGTTGTCATAAACTTTTAATTTTTGCCAACCAACAAATAATTTTCCATCATTATTTGTCATTATTTTCTGTAATAATTTTCCATTTATCTCAGCAAATACTGTAAATGTTCGTTTTCCTTCGAAATATTTCAGAAACTCAATAGATAGTGTGTCATCTTCACTTATAATTGCATTTTGTTCTATTATTATTTTCTGGAGTTCTTCTTTTGTTAAATCGCTTTCTAATTTTAAATTCGGTATTTTTATTTTCGGTTTCTGTAATTTCTTAATTTCTGCATCATATTTACTTGACATTTTTCCTAAAATTTCCTGTTTTAATTTTTCAATATCTTCTCTTTTCTTGCATCTGATCAACATGTTTCCATTATTCATTCCTTTCAAAGAGTTTATTCCAACACGCAATTTACCAACATTTACATTTGTTTCAAGATCTCTTCTAGTCTTGTCTGAGGATTGTTGTGATTTTGGTTTTAAAATCAATGTTTGTTCATTAGGTCTTGTGATGGTAAAATTTTTCTGATTAACTGCATCAGCGTAACTGATATGTTGTGATTTCTCTTCTTTTTTTTCATTTATATTTTCAATTTTACTATTAATTTGATCCAGAGATTCCATAATGTTATTTTTATCAATCATATTTGAAACTCTCAAATTGTAATTCTCATTTAATCGTTCTTTTAATTCAGTTAAAAGTTTGATGTGATTGTCTTTTTCAATTAGCAGTAAGTCTTTTTGTTTGATAGTTTCTTTCAACTGCAAAATTTCTTCTTCGAAATCCTTTATATTAACTGATGAATTCGAGTCACTCTCATAGTTTACCTGAGTGTAATGTAAACTGGGCGTCAAATAAGATGAGCCCTTTCCTGCTGATTCATTATTTCGCGAAACACTTAGATCTGAATGAGCATCTTCTTCTGATTGGAATGATTGGGTTCTATCATTTAGAGTTTCTTCATCACATTCTGTCTTATTTTTCTTTCTTCTCCTCATTTCTCCTTTGGCAATTTCAAAATATTGACATATTTGACAATGTCAAAAGAAAAATCCACGAATTTATATCCAAAAGGAGTTTTTCTTGATGATATTATAATTTTCTTCTCACTTCGTAATCTGTAGGCGCTATATTATGATCTGGATAACCAATTTAATATTTGAACAGCCTGAACCAACTTATTTTTTAAGATTTCTGGACTTCAGATTCTGGTGCAGTGAACTATATACAGAAGACTTATTTAGTTTTTAATAATATAATATAGGACTATTCTGTCAAAATGACACCATCCGTATTCGATGCGATTAGTTTTTTTAATAGTTCTGAACGAACGAACATTTTACGACGCGCTTCGTTCGTATGTAACAATATGAATTGGTTAACATGGAAATAATTCCAGATTTCCGATTGGCAGAGTTACTTAATGTATATCTATGTATATTCGAAATTATACAAGGTAGCTTAACTCAATTAAACGTTCTAGTTGGTTTAAAATCGAACGAAGAAAATAATCAGTGTAAGTCCACTGTCGTCATCATCATAGCCATGAATCACACGTGTACATAATAAAATGGTTAATTATGGTTAACTTGAACGAATGCTCGCCAGCTCCGTAACAATCAAACATTACGTTGAAAAGTGGGACATCGTGGAATAAAAACTTCGCCAGGTTTACATCTATTATAGACCTCAATACCAAAATGTCCTCTCTCTCGTTTGGATATCTGAGTTTCAATGCTGCTGCAGCTCTCAATACTGATTTCACAGCTCTCATTCCTGGAATTCACGACAGTTTCACATTAATAATTGTCATTCCACACCAACTTCTATTATTGAAATTATATAGGTACACAAGAAAGTTCCTCTACCAACTCAATTTGAAATAAGGTGCACAATGATGCACAGGGTGATTGGTTCTATTTTACTCAATAACTATCTCAGATAATATTGGTCTTACAAAAACGTTCAATATGTAAAAGTGAAGAAGTTTCTATATGCATTCAGAATTTATTACTAGAAAGTGCAAAAAAGCATCGGTTACCTCAAATTTTACATAAGATGGTATTTTTTTAATAAAACACACTGTATTTTATTTTCCCAATGGAGAAGTTTCCTTCCGATGAATTTTCATGAAATAAGTTCAGAACTCTCCAGTTTTATTTCCACGCTGTACAGAATGGCAACCGATAAAGTCCAAGTCGATTTCGGCAAACTGTGACGTACATTCTGAATCTAGTCTGAAATAGCTGATGGTGAAGAATTTAGCTAGCAAATAGCTAACGAATAGCTAACGAATGAATCACGAATGAATCACGAATGGAAATTATAGAAGGAGTAAAACTGGTAAACAAAAACATACATAACTACAACGTGGACGGTGTATCGTCTGATACCATTGGCATCAATTCCGGCGTTCCACAAGGATCAATTTTGGCACCAACATTATTCCTGCTTCATATCAATGATCTGTTGGGAGTAACAACTTGCCCCATCCACAGCTTTGCAGATGATAGTACCCTCCATACTGCGTTCTCTTCCAGAATTCCCATTTATTCCCAGGAAACTAAGAACTCACGGCGCAGGCAGGTCAATGCTGTCAATGAAGATCTTGCTGAAATCACAGCCTGGGGAACAAACAACCTAGTTGAATTCAACGCCACCAAAACTCAAGCCTGCATTTTCTCTAGAAAGGCGGAACTCAGTATGCCCGATATTGTTATGTCTGGCTCCACCATCCCCACCAAGACCACCATATCTATGCTCGGTATTTCCATCAGCAACACTCTTTCATGGGATAATCATGTCAGATCCATCGCAAAAGCTGCTTCACAAAAACTCGGATTCTTGTTCCGTGCGAAAAGCTACTTTACACCTCAACAGCTTCTCATGATCTACAAAGCGCAGATACGGCCTGTTCTAGAATACTGTTCCCACATATGGGGTTCAGCACCGAAACATACGCTGATGCTCTTAGATTCCATCCAGAGAAGAGCCATTCGCCTGGTGGGTGACGCCACACTCACTCACTCTTTGACATCATTGGAACACCGTATAAAGGTCGGCGACCTTTCTCTTTTCTATAGATACTTCCACGGGAAATGTTCTTCGGAAATCTCTGCTATCATCCCTTCACTAGCAATACCAATCAGACGAACTAGACAAGCCCAGTCAGCACATCCTTTCGTTGTCAACCTCGAGAGATGTCGAACAACACTTTATCAAGACTCCTTCATCCATAGAACGGCTAGGCTCTGGAATTCATTGCCTGTGGAAGTATTCCCAACAACATATAATCTCCAATAAAAGTTCAAAAAAAATTCCAATACCTACCTCCTGTCCCTATCCTCCCTAGGAACGCACGATGTTCTTTGAACATCATAGGGATTCCCTTTCGTGCGCTTCAAGCGATAAAAAAAAATTGCATTCGGGGCAGCAATTCAGAGGGTAATGTGATATCTTACAAAAAAAAAACTAATATATTAATTTTTCAAACTTCACAGTGAGATAAGAACCTCAATATAGGAAACGTCCTTATTGATAGAAATTTTTCTTCTGATTCCAAAGATTCAACAATATTGAAGTTATCTCTGTCAGTTTTCGAAAAACATAGATTCTAAGGCAGCTGTAGAACTCCAGATATCGCAGCATTGTCGTCTGGCGTTCAACACCTGCCTCAGATCTATACCAAAGGATCTAAATTTCCCAAAAACGATTGGGAAAATAAAATACAGGGTGTTCCATCAAAAATACCACCTTATATGAAATTTTCAGGTACACGATGCTTTCTTGCATTTTCTAGTCAAAGATTATGAATACCCATGAAAAATACTTCACTTTTGCCCATTTGAACGTTCCTAGATGACCAATATTAACTTAGATATAGCTATTGAGTTAAATATAACGACTCACCCTGTACTTGAATGATCTCTGGAGTGGAGTAGGCATTTCAATCAAGGCTTATTCTACAATCACTCGATTTGTAGGATTCAGTCTGGTGTCCTACCAGAATTAGATGCAATAATACTGAGCCATTTTTTTTTTCGAACGAACTGTCTTCATTGCTAAGAAATCAGGAGGCAATTTTTCAGACAGATTTGACAATGATAAATTGTCGAAATGTTTGTATGCAGGTTTGAAATATTCATCAATGATGGAGCCATCTATCTTTGATTAACCAGTTTGACGAAACAATCGAAGAGTGAGCCCATAAGAGGTTATATGTATATATCATTGAATGAACCGTTCTCGAAAATAAAAATTGGTGGAAGAAAATATGCAGGTGCTATTATTTCAATAAAAATCTAGGATGAAGGTACACACTGAATACTCTATTTGAGAATGATTAAAAGACATTGCGTGGTTCTTTATTCAATTATAGTGTTCAGATGAATGAATAAATGATCAATGATGATGAACAAGTTCATAACTTATTATAGAACCACAACTTGGTCTCACTAAGAACCTCACAGTCTTCGAGATTCAAGAACTTCAATGGAAATAATAATCCAGTAGACAGGTGGTTTCGGATAGAAGAAGGTCGGAAGTTGATGAATCTTGGAGATGTTTGTTCAGAGGTAGTTAATTAACATTGTCTCAAGTTTTGGACCTCGAAGACCCTATGCGAAAAGAGGAAGAGGGACTGCAAAATTTTCGATCTTTCTCCGGTTTTTTCCTCAATAACTCTTTTTCTTTCGTCTAGAGTCAAAAATATTTCAATAATTTCTTGTCAAGCGTTGAATTTCCTACAATCTCAAATCTCGGACATTTTTGTACGTCAACGCTCTATCCAGATATGGCGCTTCTAAAAAGAGGTCGTATTTTCAAACTCGTTGAAAAATCACAAATAATGTAGAATTCTACCTTATTTCTCCTGTTATATCCCAAATATGATGAAATGTTGTATTCATGGTTCCTGGTTTGAATCCCAAACCTTGGGCACCCACCTCTTTCCCCACCACCGGTTTCCCCTTTCCCCATCACCGGTTCCTCCTTCCCCCACTGAAACCCAATTCACATAAGCAATTTTGCTCTCTAATATGAGAACTAACCATGTCAACACCAAGTTGGTATTGATAATATATTTACGTTTCAGATCGCTATCCTTCCTCTTCCTCCACTACAGAGCAGGTTAAAGAAGACGTAGTCCTTCCGTGAAAAAAAATGTGATTAACAATGGTAAGTTATTCACAAAAGATACATTCTATTCAGGAATAGAGGTATTATTATAGATAGTACAGTCTTTACTGCACTCGAAGGAAGTTATCTGGAGAATGTCTTTTGGTGCAGCATTTATGGTTGAAGGGATTGGAAGTAACCCTCGCGTGGTTAGGCTCCAGTCCCCAACTGATGGGAGGAGTGCATTGCCTAACCACGCGTGAACTTGCTGAAAAATGCTGTTTTTGGTGGTAGACCGACTAGTTGCAATTTAGCCTTCATAAACTGTTACTAGGAACTCTTCTCCAGCGTCGGAGAAAATTCGGAGAAAGGTCGAAAATCTTGCAGTTTGCCATCTTTTCCTCGAGGTCCAAAACATGAAAAACATCGATCAACCATCCCAAAGTTTCATCAATTTCCGCCCTTTCTCCACGTAACCTCACTTTTTCCAACCTGCCGACTGGCCTATAATGAGTATCACTGAACTGTAGTTGTAACAATCTGCAGAAAGTAGAATTTCGATTGCAATTATTCACTGTCTACAATAATGTTTTTTCAGTATGAAGGTGTCCATTGAAGTGTGAACAGAACTAGATGCTATGTGTAGGTCCCATAGATGGTAGTAGACAAATAATGATACTTTACCGTAATCATAGTGATGTTGTGACGACAACTGTTCAGAGCACAGTCTATAAGTCGCGACGATCTTGACTGACAAAGGTTTAGCCGTCAAGAAACCGGATGCGTACAATTCGATTTCCGATATCATCGCATAGTCGGGCACCATCATAGCGACAGATCTGAACAGAGCTTTGAGGTTATCCGGCAGCTCGGATCGGCCAGCATATCCTGGATTCATGGTTATGAAAACGGAGCAGGTAGGATCCAGTTTCAACTCAGATCCTTCGAACAGGAGTTTCTCATTTCCAGAATTGATGCCTCTCTGGATAGTCAAGATTTGTTGGGCCACTACCGAAAGGACCTCCAAGTCGATGCGATTGAATTCGTCGAAGCATGACCATGCACCGCAAGATGCCAAACCCTGGAACATGCAGAAATTGTCAATATATGTATAACATAAAGGTATGTAACCTTCATTTTCAGTACCTTGAAGAATTTACCCAGCGCTAAATAATCTAGACCATCGGAGCAGTTGAATACCACACACTGCTTGGCGACAGCTTTCGCTAAATCCTTCGTTGTTTCTGTTTTACCAGTACCTGCTGGTCCTTCTGGTGCTCCTCCTATGGAAATTCAAAATATCACATGAACTTCAGTTGTTGAAAATCGACTCGTTGAATTCTTTCTTTTTATTCTACGAACAATTTTATATTAGAAGAAGAAGCGCTCAAGAGCAATTGGATATTTTCAACAATCTCAAATACATTTTGATCAGAAGTTGTTGATGTGATATATACGAGATCGAAATCTCTACAATCCACTGGATTGTGATTGTCAAGATATTTGGAAGCGAATTGAGTGAACATACACAGATTGGAAGCAGTTCTTCGCTATTCAACAAAACCATGTTGAAACTTGAAGATACAGTTGGGTGATAATGTCAGATAATATAATTTCAGAAACCGTGAAGACAATATATCGAGACAATGGGTCTTCGATTCTTCATTTAGTTTATTTTTCAATTCAAATATTTGTCCTATATTTGAATATAGGACAAACACGTGAGAGTTTCCAAATATCAGGAAATAGTTTATTCTCAAGAATCAGATTGAAAATAATATATAACGGATTCAGAAAAAGTATTTTATGCAACGATCATAATAATATACGAACACGGGGTAACTTACGATAGGAGCCAAAGGCGAATCGCTTCCAAAGATATGAACTGTATAAAATTAGAATATTACTGTCCACTGATTTTTTCAGCGTTCTCTACTATACCAAGATATGCTATATAATTCAATGTTTTGTGATTGATCCTAGTTGAAGGATTGATTGGTTTACATTTTACGAACTGTTTCAATCTGCCGACCTGTCACTTTTCTATAGATACTTCCACGTGGAATATTCTTCAGAAATCTCTACTATGAAATATGTTCAAAGCTTCGAAATTATTCGCCACTGGAAGTACTTCTAATAATTCAATCTGAAAGTTGAAATAAATCCAATACCTACCTCCTTTCCCTATTAGATCCCGCGGTCACCAAGTTCATCATCTGACGTTGCGATGACATAGGAACTACGAGAAAACATGTCTAACTTTCAATCTAAGCCGGGGTTAGGAATGTTTTCCCGTAGTTTTTATGTCATCGCAACTTCAGATGATGACCTTGGCTATCACGAATAGATTATACGAATTGCTTCAATAGTTACGAACAAATGAAAAGGACCCCGCACTTTTTCTATATAAAAATGGCGTTCCGTCGAATTTCCCCAATTTTTGGTAAATGATAGTACTCGACATACTGATTGAATATGCCAAGTCCCAACTCAATCCTATGACTAGTTTACGAGATACAGGGTGTTGAAGTTGAAGAATACCTAATTTTTCTCGGCCTATATCTATCTCTAAGATAGGACAAATGAATTCCAATTTTTCGGGAGCACGTAATAGTTATGCCCTTAGGCGCAAGAACTATATAGGTATTCGACCAAAACTGATTTTTATTACAGGGTGATTCTCATTTCAAATAATGTGTTTTTTTGAATATCTGAATATCAATGCTACAAATTGATAACAATTACAAAATGAGATTTATAGCCAAGTATGCTCTTCTTACATCAATTGAATTCGTAAAATATAATAATTATACATGGTGTTTCATTAATGCTGTTGATTGCATAATTGGTCTATCCTAAAGTTCATTGGGCCACCTCGTATTATCGGGTTGATTCCAGACATTCAAAATATTTTTGAAGGATGTATCCCAATGAGTTCCATGATATACAGAGTGATTCATCGATTGAAAAAATTGACAACCACGAAAAAATATTCAAAAACCACTATTTTTTTCATCACCCTCTAATTCGAAATTATTACCGTCGATGTAAGATTTTTTTCCACCAATATACTCAGTATGGATATTTCAATCAAATTGGGAATTTTCAGACCCATGCTATGACTAGTTTTTTTTATACATCGAATAATGTGAAAATAATTATGGAAAAGTAATTACATAATAACACGAAAAATTGCTCCGAATCGCAAAACTAGTAGTCACTAGTCAACTATGTCAAAAAATGTGATTTGTTCGTAAACAAAATCTAGTGGTCTTATTATAGGTCCGCTAGCAAAACATCTCGAAAATGTTTTTCAGAAAACATCAAACAAATCACAATATGCCCCCGAAAAAATCTCATCAACGACACAACTATTCTACGCACCCCTTTCATCAACTTTCAACTCATCAACGATCCCACTCATAAACGTGCTAAAACTCATGAGCGTTCGAAGTCGACAGCGGTTTTTCCCAACTCAATCCTATGACTACTTTTCGAAAAAAGTATGAAACTAAACTTCCGCAAACGCCTAGTAAGAGGTGCGCGTTAATATATTTTGCAACTCTCCTATATCCAACCAACTTCCAATCTTTTGACCATACTGTATATTGTTAGAATCGAAGTTAGTATATGCACATCGCAAAGACACTAAAGTTGGAGTTTTGGTTATGTAGATATTCGTTACCGGGTTCAGTATAGGCCTGAAAGAAAAATGTCAATTAAGAATTTCAATCACAGATTTTGAAAAAATAGACAAACCAACTCGTTTCCCCACCACCTGAGAGGTAGAGTTTCAGGCGCGTTTTTTTTATTGTGGTATCCCCTGTAGGCCTAGTCCACGTTAGAAAGTGAAAGTTCCAATACCTATAATATGATTGTGTGTAGGCAGGATTGGCGCAGTGGACGAGCACCCGAGTCAGGACTGCGGGGTCGTGGGTTCGATTCCCAGACAGCGCAAGGAATTTTTCGAATATTAATATACGAATTAAATATTGTGAAGTTTCGGAGCATCGGCTGGGGATAGTCCTGCACGATTCACTGTTGCGTGCCTACATACAATATAGATACATGTTCAGAACACTATGGGCTAAAGGACCTCATTAGGGATCGATGGTTGGTTGGTATGTACATACCTACCAACGAAGGACATATACTACTACTACTACTATAATTATGTTTCACAAGGAACACAGAAATCAACTAATCGCCAGATTCAAATCAGTTCCGGACCGATGTTCATATTTTCAGGATTCAATCGATTTGCAGCATCGTCGATACAATTCAAAAGGCGATCAGATGGAAAGGTAATATTTCCTTGGTTTCTTGCGTATCCAAGGAACCATACCACACTGGCTACGTGTGCACACGTCCCTAATGTTCTAGCACCGGACCTACAAGTACAGTAGTACCCTAAAATGGGCGGATCTTGTAAATTATTATCATCGATTTCTCTGAATACTAACCACAGCATATGTTTAGTGGCATTTCTGAACCGAGAAAATACTCGAAATCTTAAAAAATTGGGTTCCTCATTGAGTTCGTCAATATCGAGTGTATTTTGTTCCCCTCCATCTCTTTGTATCGTGTCTTGTATGTAGGAGGCAGCTAAGTGAATGTGATATGACCCTGTGAGTGTTTTCAAATATTCTAAGTCAAGTCGAGGAAACGTCGGTACATGTCTATGGTTCAAACGAAACCATCGACCATTTCTTGTACGGAGGTTTTCAGCCTCAACTCGGGCCTGAACAATGTTGACTTCTTCGATATCATGCAACATTTGTGTAGCTAATTCCAATGTGCCCGGAATCCTTATTGGAGGATGGTATTTGTTTATTAGGGCGCCAGCAATCAAATAGAATTCGCGTAATTTTGCAACATGTGTTATTGATATCGCTCCTCGGAAGAATTTGAAAATCGATTTGAAATGCCCATTTCTAGCCTCTACAATCCATCTGGTGCTAGTAATTAAGCGTGCCCTATTAGTTTCGATTGTTGTGAGTTGTCTTTGGTTTGGTGGTAGAAATGGTGGCATATGGTAATGGAGACCAAGATCCTGTAAAAGACCAATAGAGTCCCTATAACCCCTATCGACTATCACTACATCGCCTTCTTGAAACCATGTCCTCATTCTATTTATATCATTCTGTAGCTCATGCTGCAGAATGGTGGCATCATTATTTCTAGCATCAGAAAAGTATGGACCATTAATTGCCAAGATGTAGCCATCAGGAGCGACCATAATTTCAGGCTTAACCAGGTGCTCATTTTTATGGAAGCAGTAGGATTGTCTCAATATCCGGAAATTACTACTTTTTTCTATTTTGTTATATGTACAGTCTATATACACAATTGCTTTTGGGATATTGGGAGAAGGGTTGTATAGCTGATTGGTGTATACAGACACGTGTCTATTAATATAATCGTCTCTTGTAATAGAGTCGAAACCAATATTATTAGTTACAAATCTTCGCATTAGAGATATCCTCACATTCGATATTATCAAGCTAGTTGTTTGTCTTGAAGAAAAATGAAACAAGATTTTCAAAAACTCATCTGAAACTCCATGTTTCATTTTGATTAAAAATGTCAGTAAATGTTTCTTTTTGATATGCCTTCTATTTCCCCCTTGCTCGATTGTATCACAAAATCCATAAAGTTCTTGAAAATCTTCTTTTGAAATCGACGTCAGAGCTTTGAACTCTTCTTCTGTAAAACTATCAATATCATCCCAGTTTCTAATACGTCTATTTTCATTGGCAACTGTTCTCATACACTGTAGAAATTGAAGCATATTTGATATCAAATAGGGTTTGTTGATAAAATTCAAACCTCCATGCAAATTATTCAAGAGAAATCCATGAGGGTCAAGATGATGACCACAAATTCTCAGAAAGTCCGGAACATAAATATTCGTTACAACAAAAATGTTCACCCTACATGCAAGAGTTATTCTCTGAACATGTTGACGAGCATTACAGATTATGCAGGCACGGCTCATTACTGGACTCAATACATTTAGGCGAAGACAGTTTGGGTTATTTTCCATCTCATTGATATCAATTATTACACTGTTATGACAATTGAAACAAACTCTGGTATCATCAAAAATGTCAATTGGAGGATTTCCAGCAGCTTGTCTTCTAAATGTTGCAATTTGCAGAAAATCAACATTATCTTCACGATTTATACGAATTGTGAGTCTAGGAATGAAATTCCCTTCGCATACATAACATCTTACCCTATTTGCAAATGCCATAATGCGCACTAAATTCACTAAACAATTACTGAAAACGACTTAAAAAACACTCAGAATAAAGATATACGCTGATATGATATTTTAAGATACTGACAACCCGAAAGTTGCTGGATGACAGACACATTTATTGATATCATGATTTTGTTTTCTAAGCCTACTGAAAAATATTCTATCTGGTTGCGATAATCCAAATTCGACTTCTACGAAGTAAAACATACTTATTAATTCGTGACAACCCAAGTTTCTAGACTAATTCGACCCCGCCGATTCCGAAAATATCAGTTGTCAACTTGAATTGGGACTAGAACTTACCCTAAAATATAATTTTATAGTTATTTGAGGATGTCTATCGATCTATTACGGTATGTATATCTTACGATATACATTACCTAATGCCACTATTTCTTCCAACAAATAGATGTTGTTGGAAAACGAGTTGGTTCATGTATTTTTTCAAAATCTATGATTGCAATTCTGAATTGATATTGAGTGGAAGAAAGAGGCTTCGAGATTGTTTCATTATTATTTTACTATATTTTTGATGTGTTGGATAAATGATGATTCCTCGGTACCTACTGATGTTCCTGTATTCCATTTTTCTTTCAAGTCTATACTGAACCCGGTAACGAATATCTACATAACCAAAACTCCAACTTTAGTGTCTTTCCGATGTGCATATACTAACTTCGATTCTAACAATATACAGTATGATCAAAAGGTTGGAAGTTGGTTGGATAAAGGAGAGTTGCAAAATATATTAACGCGCACCTCTCACTAGGCGTTTGCGGAAGTTTAGTTTCATATTTTTTTCGAAAAGTATAGTCACAGGATTGAGTTGGGAAAAACCGCTGTCGACTTGGAACGCTCATGAGTTTTAGCACGTTTATATGAGTGGGATCGTTGATGAGTTGTGTCGTTGATGAGATTTTTTCGGAGGCATATTGTGATTTGTTTGATGTTTTCTGAAAAACATTTTCGAGATGTTTTGCTAGCGGACCTATAATAAGACCACTAGATTTTGTTTACGAACAAATCACATTTTTTGACATAGTTGACTAGTGACTACTAGTTTTGCGATTCGGAGCAATTTTTCGTGTTATTATGTAATTACTTTTCCATAATTATTTTCACATTATTCGATGTATAAAAAAAACTAGTCATAGCATGGGTCTGAAAATTCCCAATTTGATTGAAATATCCATACTGAGTATATTGGTGGAAAAAAATCTTACATCGACGGTAATAATTTCGAATTAGAGGGTGATGAAAAAAATAGTGGTTTTTGAATATTTTTTCGTGGTTGTCAATTTTTTCAATCGATGAATCACTCTGTATATCATGGAACTCATTGGGATACATCCTTCAAAAATATTTTGAATGTCTGGAATCAACCCGATAATACGAGGTGGCCCAATGAACTTTAGGATAGACCAATTATGCAATCAACAGCATTAATGAAACACCATGTATAATTATTATATTTTACGAATTCAATTGATGTAAGAAGAGCATACTTGGCTATAAATCTCATTTTGTAATTGTTATCAATTTGTAGCATTGATATTCAGATATTCAAAAAAACACATTATTTGAAATGAGAATCACCCTGTAATAAAAATCAGTTTTGGTCGAATACCTATATAGTTCTTGCGCCTAAGGGCATAACTATTACGTGCTCCCGAAAAATTGGAATTCATTTGTCCTATTAGTCCGGACGGTAACCTACAGGAATAGACCCCACCTTGCATTTCATGTTCAATAGGTGACACATGGCTTAAATTGTTCCTTAGACCCTATTCTTCGATATGAGAAATGTTGCCACGGTCCCACCCCCTGCAGACCCCTTATTTAGGCATGGTTGCCTTCCTTCAGGGGCAAAACGCCCTTTTCCTCATTTCTCGCGTAATAAACGTCGTAGATGTCTACTTTTTTTACACATTTGAAGTGTTTGGAGTGCCCAAGGCTGACAAATGATTATAAAAGGCTCACGGCCACACATTTCAAAATGACGGCGTCCGAAATCGAAAAATTTGAACATTTTCAAAGAAACAAAAAAGAGGTAACATAGTATCGTGACGGGTGTCGTTTCATATGTTTTCGGGGCGTCTGATTACGAAAATATATAGAGGTTGAAAGTTGGATAAATGCCGCAATGAGGCCACGGAAGTGTGTTATAAATCAAATCTCGGTTTGAATTTCCGCGCTCACGCGGGGAAGAGATCCGCGCATTCGTTTGATTCCGCGCGCTCGGCAACAATGGTCTCTTGGCGGAGCTGTTGTGACTTGCTGTAGCAGGCGGTGGCTTGCATCTTTGTGTTATATTTGTGCAGGCGTTCCACGTTTTGGTGAGTTTAATTCGATTTTACCTTCTGTAACCGCGTTTGTCGCAGTTCCACGGCGAAGTAGTTTTGACGTGTGCATACTTTGCAGATTTCTTCCGAAATGAAGAGCTTTAAATTGTGTGATGTTAGCGTCCATAGCGCGGAGAGGGATCAAGAATCCGAGTGGCATTGTCCACCAAAGTGCCTAAAGGATGGGAGAATTTCCTTCGATATGCCGACAACAAGACAGCCTTGTTTGAACTTCTTGCTGAAAGCATTTCGAATTTAAACATTCCCGGAAAAACTTTTTTTGCAACTTCAGAGGACTCTGTCGTCAGCAGCCCATTCGGTGCTGATAGCTCCTCCATGGCCCCATGCTACCACGAGGAGGCAGACACACGCTCATTTGTCCACCTGGCAGATGCAGTGGCCCATGGCTGTGAGGAAGTGACGATAAGGACATGTGACACGGTTGTCATAGCAGTATCCTGTATTCAGCAGCTGCCTCAGCTTCAAGAACTATGGGTGCATTTTGGCATGGGCAAGCATTTCAAATTTCTGGCTGCGCACGAAATTGCCAATGTTATAGGTGGGTGAACAAAAAGATAATAACTGCTTTTCGACGAATCCGGGCAACAAAGACCTATCTGTGTGGCAATTCCTACACAGATAGGTCTTTGTTGCAGGGATTCGTCGTTACCGAACCACTTTCATTGATTCTCTCTTTAATTTATGTACTTATAGGTCCTGGAAAGTCAGAATCGTTGCTGGGTTTCCATGCTTTTACCGGCTGCGACACAGTGTCCTACCTCAAAGGAATTGGAAAACTCACAGCCGTAAACGCTTGGCTGAAATATCCTGGAGCAACAAATGGATTTAAAGCTCTTCAAGACGGGACAGTTGTTCAGGCTATGGGCAATTCAGAAGTATTTGTTGTTTCAACCTACACCAGGTAAAATAACAACACTCTCCTCGAACGTAAAATATAGAAAAATTACGTATAATATACGAAAGTAATATTAATTTACGTATTCTAATTCCGGGACTGCGTCTTGCGAGACTGTGAACGAGTGCCGGAGGGTGTTGTTCACAAAGAGCGACCGTCAGCTGGAATCCATTCCACCAACAAGAGACGCTCTGGAGCAACACGCTAAGAGAGCGTCCATTCAGAGTCAAGTGTGGAGACAATCTCTGGAGCGTGAACAAAACTTTCCCGACCCAGCGGACTTTGGCTGGAAAAAATGTGAAGAGGGTTGGGAACCTGTGTGGCGCACGATTCCTGTTGCATCTGAAGCTTGTGAGGCACTAACTAAATGTTCCTGTCAAAAGGGGTGCGTACCGGCCCGCTGCAAATGCCTGAAAAACGGTCTCAAATGTTGCGAGCTGTGCAAGTGTACCTGCCAACTCTGTACCCCATAAATTCTAAATATAATGCACCCTCCGTCAATGACTTGTCAGGATGGATTCTAACTTTTATTTTTGTGATCAGACGCCCCGAAAACATATGAAACGACACCCGTCACGATACTATGTTACCTCTTTTTTGTTTCTTTGAAAATGTTCAAATTTTTCGATTTCGGACGCCGTCATTTTGAAATGTGTGGCCGTGAGCCTTTTATAATCAATTGTCAGCCTTGGGCACTCCAAACACTTCAAATGTGTGAAAGAAGTAGACATCTACGACGTTTATTACGCGAGAAATGAGGAAAAAGGCGTTTTGCCCCTGAAGGTAGGCAAACATGCCTAAATAAGGGGTCTGCAGGTGGTGGGACCGTGGCAACATTTCTCATATCGAAGAATAGGGTCTAAGAAACAATTTGAGCCACGTATCACCTTTTGAACATGAAATGCAAGGTGGATTCTCTTACCCGCCGGACTATATCTTAGAGATAGATATAGGCCGAGAAAAATTAGGTATTCTTCAACTTCAACACCCTGTATCTCGTAAACTAGTCATAGGATTGAGTTGGGACTTGGCATATTCAATCAGTATGTCGAGTACTATCATTTACCAAAAATTGGGGAAATTCGACGGAACGCCATTTTTATATAGAAAAAGTGCGGGGTCCTTTGTGATATTATCTAATACAACTCAGTATAATACTCCGCCTGTTGAGAGTTAATAATTCGATATCATAGATGAATTTGTATCCGTACTTGAAGAAAGTAATAAATCCTGCACTAGATAAAATTGTCACGAGTAAAACATTCGACATATTAGTAAGTTCGAACCATTATGGTTTTAATAACATCAAGTTGAGCATATCATCCGTTGACATCGAACTAAAGAATACTGACCAAGAAATTTTCACGAGAAAGTTGCAAGCCTGATCAATTTTCCTATATATACATATATGATATATTTACATTTCAACTATCCATGATATTATGTGCTATAATAAATACTTTTATGGTTGAATAAAGTATCGTTCTTTCAGGAACCCCTAAAATATCAATACCTTCACAAATTTCACCTCTCGCACACACCACAGTCAAGCAAACCATTATAAATCGATATGGAAGAAGCAACCTTGCATCATGACGTGGTGGGAACATTCTTCCTAGTTGTGACCTTGTGAAGGTTCATCCACCCTAACGTAACATGGTGATTGGGGAAGGTGCTGCTACCTAGTCGTGGTATGGTGGGAGGTTCATCCCTGCTGTATCGTGACAAAGTCTACTTACCTAAATGGAGATGTAATGCTCCAAAGAGTGTTCTGAAACACCTGTCAGTAAGAGGAGTCACTACCAACCTCGACGTGTTGCCAAGATACTCATAACCATATTTCAGAGTGGAATTGATCATGGAAGTTATCATTTGATTTGCCTGAAAAGAGTATAATTGCTCAAGCACTCCATTATGAAAGATTTTTTTGAATGTAGTGCAGAAAAACAATGCTTATTACCTCCCAGTAATATCTTAATTGGCATAGCCATTTGAAATCATGGTCATTCTTCACTTCATCGTTGATCAGTCCAATCAGAACATCTCTAGCATGAACGTCTAGCACTACTAAGGCACCTGAGAACAAGAATCGAATAAGCATACTATTCCAAACATCAAATATATCATTGACCAACCTAGAGTTATCCTATTTTGAGTATTCAGCTTGCCTCTCACTAGATCAACTATCTTCGATATCTGATAGATAGATTTTTCCAAATACTTCTTCATGCCATCCAAACCTTCCCCAATAGCTAAAGTAACTTCAGTAGTCCAGAAGGTACATCCGACTGCTTGCACACATTGGCCAGGCCATTTCAAAACCCACTGGTCTCTTTGTACTTTCGGGTAATCAGCTATCGAAGCTGCGACCATATTGTGCACCGATTTCTTCATATCTGTCTCTAGTTCTACCAACCACTTCTCGACCTGGCCTCTTGCCAAAGCGGTTTGAATGACATCGACTAGTGGCACTATTTCACCTTCACTCGATTTCATCTCTGTTACGTCCAGATCTTCTGTGAATGTGAGTTTAGCTATTCCTTCGAAACATTTCTTCAAGTGGGGTTGAACTCTAGAAGGAGTCGAAGAAAATACTGATATAGATATGAATGTGCATGTAAAATAAGCTCACCTAGTTGGATCTTTAGTTTCAGACAATATTTCCAATAACTCATCGTTAGATAAGAAGAAGAATCGTGGGAAATACAATCTCTTCTTCTCCAGATAATCGTTCAGGCCTCTTTGAATCAATTCTAACAAGTTATTACATTTCTTCAACCTCTCAACCATCTTGTCTATCTCAACTACTGACAATACTTTACAATCACTGTACACAGTCTTCATTAAGTCTCTCCAAATCTGAAAACAGAAGGGTATATACAGGGTGTTTCCTAACTACGGTTCCTAACTGCAGGTGGTGATTCGTTAGGTCATTTTAGAAAGAAAAGTTCCTATTAACATATGTCCGGAGTTGTTTCGTTTCTGAGATACAGGGCGTTGAAATTACAGAAAAAAAACGATAAATATAAAATATCATGATTATCCTAGAACCGATTTGCTTGAAATTTGGTACTTTCATTTGAACTGATGAGGCGCTTATTCACCCCTATTTAGATTGCAATTATTGGGGCCAGCTTCGTTTTCAAGAAAAAAATCAAAGCCTCTGTATTGCATATCATGAACACCTGCATTGGAGAACTAAGTTTTTTATTATTTTCGCCAAAAATTTAAAAATTAATTAATATGCTGAAATTTCAGGAAATTCGACTAATCGAAGTACTAAATTTCAACCAAATCGGTTCAAGGATATTCATGATATTTTATAATTACCGTATTTTCTCTTTAATTTCAACGCCCTGTATTCCAGAAACGAAGCAACTACGGACATGTTCATGGGAACTTTTCTTCTTAAAATGACCTAACAAATCAACCCCTGCAGTTAGGAACCGTAGGAAACACCCTGTATAATATAAACTACTGATCATTTGGTGCTCACGGTATGATACATATTATATTTTGAAGACTGCTCAGAAATTGATTTATACCATAAAAAAATGTTATGTGACGATTTTGTCTTTATATTATTGCCACTACAATCGGGTAACTATTAGACAACGTTACTGGTATCTCTTTACTATACAGGAAATTTCACGATGTGCCTGATCGTTCTTCGTGATTGTCTGGATTCAACTTACATATTATTTCCATCAAATCACCATTTGCTTCCATACCGAAGATTGTTCGATTTGAATATCTATTACTTTTTCATTATGATTCTGGAATCCCCATAGTCATATGATTGCTTTATATGGAGTACCAATATTTCATGTCTGTAATCCACAGTGTTCAGAAAGCAAAGTTTCAGATTTTTTCAATAGTTACAGACCTCCAAAATCCATGCAGAGGCGTTATTTCAGAATTGAATGTAGTTACTACAAGATGGGGCAGAAACAACTCCCCGATTAGGAAACCAACTAGCTACGGCTATGGTGGTGATAGCGCAGCGCAGAGAGGATATATCATTCGACGTGTGTATTCACGCCATGTTTAGTATAATGAGGTAGGTAATATTCCTTACTGCTCGAAGTTTAATGGCAATTTTGAGACAAATGTTTTATTGTGTTTGTTGTCTCTTTGCGTGGTGACATCGGAGGGCCCCTCGTACACGCCGGATTTAATCCTATGTAATTCATTCATTTTGGGCTAACCCAAGAAGGAAGTGTATCAACATTATCACCCTCAAACTCTAGAGAGTCCTAAGTGAGACGATAATCCAGGGAAATGGTGCCATGTCCCAGAGCGATGGAAAATTATCGGGAGAGACTCATACTCAGTGTATCAACAATGGAAACAAACACTTGCGTAATGTAATGTAAAATGTATGAGCAACAGTTTTTAGTTTTTTGATATGTTGAAAGATAGCTGAGTTACAATAAGGACAGTCCCAAAATGGAACTTCTTCAATTTCGCCCTGTATAATGGTACAAGTTCTGGAGATTTTATTTGCGGTATCGTGAGTAGCCAACGTTCGCAAAAACCGCAGATCTCTATGTTTGAAAATAAGTGAGATATCCCTTAACGACATCGAAAATGGGACAGCCTGTACATAATGATGATTGTGTCTGAAAAACTGATCATTTTGGGAGTTATTCATTTCAGTCCAAATTTGGTAAGAATCGCAAGACCAATAGCTGAAATATAAAGGTGTGGGGCGTTCCAACCCAGTTAACACAGATTGATTCCAGAAATATAGGAGGGCATCACATTTATGCCACACATCATATTCGTGACTCGAAATGAGAGTCCCACTGAAATCACAATGACTACTATTCCGGACCCTTTTGGTCATTTTATGATTCACATTATGATGCGAAATGAAACTCCCAGTACATATCAAGCGACTCCTCATTCAACATCTGAATTGATTGATTCTATTTGGTACATAAGTAGGCAAGAATGTGAGGTTCCAGTGAGTCTCTTGGTTGTTAGGGAGCCTCACAAATTCACCTACATTTTGAATCTCGAATCCAATAAAATGTGACGAATCTTGCGAATGTTTTTCAAAATGAAGTCTGGCAATACCAATGATGGTTTTTTGTAATTCGCATTGTTACCTAGCGAGACATATGGACGTGACATCCCAGGAATGTTTGTGTTTACTAGGAAAGTGAGATACGTTGTATATGACAGGTCCCAAATGCGTATGATTCCTGTAATACAGTTCGATCTCGAAAGCGGCAAAGCTTCTTTCTTGTGGCATTAGCGGTCTAGAGTATAGATAGTAGTTTATATCAGTGAGAGAATCTCCCAAAAATTCTGAGAAAAAATAATCAATGTCAATCGTTCGTTAACCAACCAATTGTGCAATTCCAAACGATTCGAAAGGATATTGTATATTACTTTATCAACAGCACTGAAACGTCGTCCTTCTTCAGGCATTTGCTGCTGAATGTCTGGTGAAGAGAATATTGGTTCCAGGTACATCCAAGTAGACTGAACTTTAAGCCACTCATCCAAAATCTCTTGTAGAAGCTGCAACTTTGTCTCCCAGTTCCTGTGATTAATAAAACACCATCTTATGAAAACCTGTCAAAGGCAGAAATTGACGTGTATCTATGCACTACTGACCATATCCATACACTAGCACGGGTGAGAAAAATTTTATCATATTCCTAATGGATGCCAAAAGCAAAATTCAATCATCTAACTGAGCGATTGAAAGATGGTTATTTGAACTAGGCCGCAAATAACTTTTCAGCGTACAGGGAGTTATCTGTGAAAACTTCAAAATGATGAGATTTACACATAATTCTCAAACACACGACATGTTTTGCTAACACAGTAGCTTCGTCTGGTGATATACTGGTACAATGTACTGTGTTAGCGAAACATGTCGTGTGTTTGAGGATTGTGTGGAAATCTTATCGTTTGTGAAGTTTTTACATTTGCCATGGACTTCCATCAAGTAACGGCCGAATCGATTAAAAAAAAAAGTTATCGCCAAGTCAATTCGCGAGGTCGCCAAAAAGTTTTCGCCGTCACAATCGTCAAAATTATTATTGTAGATAATAGCAAATAATTATATTCGGTTAATAAGAGACATGTTCGTTTGTGCTTGCTCAACCTGCTGAACTTGATTTTTTCTATGAGACAACTATATATGGGAAAAAATCAACTTCAGCAAGTTCAGCAATACAAACGATTAGGCCTATCATTACAATGTTGGTATAGAAATGACAAAACGCAGATAAGGTCAGACACTCGTCTGACACTCCGAACGGAGGTCTGACACTGTCTGAAACTGGCTTCTCCTGTATAAGGACCAATCAGAATTGTGCATCGATAGTACGCTTTCTTTTCAGAACGTCGTTTCAGCAATCACGAATCCAAACAGAACAACTTTCTGTTCCCCCTGGTATGACATGGATATGATAGATCATGATTCATTTCAAATGAAACAATTCGTGCTCAAGATAATAATAATAGTAATAAATGAGTTTATTCAAAGAATATTTCCGATAATGAGAGTTATAAATAGATAGTGTATTGAATAAACTGAAGAAAAATCTTACGAAGTGTAACTTATTGTAAGGATTGTTGATTTCAAATACGAATCAATCAATATAATCAAATTATATATTTCATTTCAAGACACAAGTCTTTTTTTTTATTTTTTTCATTTAAATCATCCTCTTTTCTTTTTTCCATATTCATATTTTCTTTTTATATTTCCTTTTATTATATTTAATAATTGATATTTTGGCTGACAATATGTTATATATAGTATTCAACCCTTTACTGCAAGATTTTTCATTTTCGCGTGATGAGAATGTCATTCTAGAGGGGATCACTAATATGGAAAAGATGATAAAAATTTTCCTTCTTTATTTTCGAAAAATATCTTATGTATGTTGTATATTTACAACATTGTACAACTAATCATTTCTGTTGAACCATATTTGTATGTGGAACCCATCTAGAAACGAAGTTTTTTTGCACAATGTTGTAGACAAACACCAATAACTAATACTTATATTGCATAATGTTGTAGAGAAACAACAATAATGAATCATGTCATCATTTCGATTAGACGATGCCTTTTTCACAAAAAATACTCATCGGCAACTGACTTAGCGTATCTGAGTGAACTTATGTATATCTTCGCCCAAAAACTCTATTTTTGCTAAGCAAACAAACTTTGAATCACGGTAGTCCAAAGCATTTAACCAACATTTTCGTCATTTGAGTGCCACCTGCAAAATCTTTGTTACATTGTCTCCATGGCTTGAATGTTGTAGAATCGTACAGCATGCGAGATTTCAATAATAATTATCAATTTACAACACTATGCAGTGAAGGGTTAAATAATAATAAGATTAGCAAATATATTCCTTGAAGAGTCTAATATCCAGTTTTTCTCATTTTAATTCAATAGCACCTAGGTGATTTTAATTTTTTTCATATTATCCGAATTTATACATATAAATGAGAAATTGAATATTCATAATTCCTAGATAGTATAGAAAATTGAAATTGAAATCGAAATCTTTGACTCGGTTAAATTGCTTCGAGGTATATAATTGTATGGCGAGCAATCATGGTATTACCCCTGATAATAACCCTGCATGTCATTGACGTGGTTTAGAGATGTCAAATTCGGAATCACGTCTGGTTTGGCGTCCATTGCTGTGAATTTAGTTCTGCATACTGTATCGAGAACGCGAAATATTCCCTTCGCGTGCGATTGCACAAAAACAATAATTTTGACAAAATCGCAAATCACACACAGGGTGTTCGAAAACAAATTAACGATAGTTCCACAATATCAGAACCCATAATGATGACCGATGACAATTTCATTCGACAGATCAAGGATACTTATAGATTTCGACTCTCAATAATTTGCGTATTTCAACAGAAATACAAAATAACCTCTAGTTTCACAAAGTGTGGCAAATTTGCAAAAAATCAGCACATACACTATTTGAAAATATATTAGGAAACAGTGAATCAAAAATTGCGGGGCAACTTCTATCATTTTTGAATGTATGACGAATTTATATTCATCATACAGGACGTGGAAAAAAATCTGAATTGAGGAAACCTAATCACGAATCTGCGATTAATGTTTCAAAAAAACAATACTTAACAAGTTCCCATTGTTCAAGTTTGAACCCCTTGATTGCGTAAAAGTATTGAAGAAGAATATTCTCAGATAAATTATAAACATGAAAATATGGATATACAGGGTGATTGTAAAACTGATGAGATTATTTGTAGGACATATTGTTGCGATCAAAATGAGACTTCCTCTTCATATAAACATATGCGTCCTAAAATTCACCCCCTTCAAGCTACAGCTACTGTAAGTTAGTTCAAGAAGAGAGAAAGTCTGAAATTGTGACTTGAATAACGGATCAACTCTCCTTAAAAATTATTCGAATCCAGTTTTGGGAAGGGGGTTGGAGGGGGTCCTCTCTTCTATTCACCGGTGTATTTAACAACACATATTCATATGAAGGAAAAGTCTTATGTTGATTCAAGCAATACGTTCTCAAAATATTTTAATCACCCTTTATATATATATATATACAGTATGATGCAAATGTATGGAATAAATTCATTATTTCAGAAATGGGCGACATTTGAAAAAATTCCAAAAACACGTGAGATTTCATTTTTGAAGCCTCATCTCATGATATCCATATGAGAGATGTTACGTCACCGGTGTTGGACTAATGACGTAATGAACGATTTTTTCAAATGAAAACATGGGTCATGTGACACCTCGTTTGAAAGGTCTACTGATCATCTATTCAACAGTCCAAATTTTGCATAAGAAAATTGAAATTAAAATGGATTATCATTTGATTAACTGAATCTTGCAGAGGTCTGCTACTGAGAATTGAACAACGAAGGGTCGTCTATTCAAAAAAATACATCAATTAATGAAGTTCTGAAGTCTAGTTTTTGGATTTTTGTCGGAAGTCGTCTTGGTTTGAAATGAATTTATTCCATACATTTGCATCATACTGTATATAAAAATACATTGAGAATTCACATTCTCTATATGTGATGAAAATATAAACTTTTTCTCTGTTTATTCAACAGAAGATTCTGTTCTCAAATTCCTATCGTGTGTGTTTAATAGATATAATTCAATGTTCGTGATATTTAGCCAGCAAACTTATTGTTTCCAGTTGAATAAACCGAGGAAAAATTGTTTCTTTCGTCACATATATAGAGAATACCAATTCTGAATGTATTTCCTTATACATATTGTAATGATAATCACCGTAGAGGGGCTCTAGAAAAAGCAGGAAGGCAGGAGTACAACGATCATCCAGTAACACGCATCTCAGATTGTTCTACAACCTCCCAATGATTCCTACATGCACCAGCATATTTCCGAACACTCAATATATGCCGCGGTGACAAATAACGTGACAGAAGATTCTGGAATGTTCTGGAAACAATCGATGGAACAATTAGAGAGAGAGGTATTGTTTTGAGAAGCTTCTACATAGAACAAAAAGAAGACGGAAGATCATTCGAGAACGTTCTCGAACCAAAGCCTACCAAGGCATCTCATATATAAACGGCCGGACAACTGCCGTCAGTCAGTTAAGCAGCGAGTGTCAGAGAGACAGTCATATACCGCGTGATATAAATCGTTCAACATAAATAGAAGTTATAAGTTCGATATAAATAGTGTTCCTTTAGTTCAAATAAATCAGTTCGAAAATAAATAGTGTCGTATTCGCTTCTGCACCCGAATAACGTAACAATATATACATATCCATTCTTTCATGTTCATAATAATTTATGTGAGAACATTCCTTCACAATAATTTCTGCAAGTTGGCAATAAAATTAACTACAATGGTAGGCAACGGAAAAAAATATAAATAATTCTGAGATTTCTCTAGAGCTGCTGGAATACTCATTTTTTCCCATTCAACCGAATCCGTATCTGCCAGATTTCCATGAGGTGCAACCTTATCTTGGTCATACTTATATCATTTTCATTTCATTTATTTTCATTTATATCCTGTTTATTATTCCGTTCGTCCATTACTGTTTGAGAATACTGCTATCAATGTGATTGGAATATTTTCTTAATAAACTAGAGTTTCTGAATTCAATTACTTACAACATTGCCACTTCGAATGGTTTAATATATGGAGAATTCTTCATAGTCTGGCTTTTCACAATGTGGTCATCAAGCAATACTTGAATATCATCTACTGCCGACAATATGTACGTCCCAGTATCTCTATACACCAACACACAGAATTCGATATCTTGCCATTCGTTTATCATCTTGTTGAGATTCTTCTCCAAGTTATTTTCTTTGGTGGCTGCCTCAGAAATAGTTTCGAATTTGTCAATATAGTCATCGAGCCCATAGTCTATTATCTTCTCTAGTGTGAGATCAGCATCTACTTTTATTGGGAATCCTACAATTTCTGATACTTTCTCCCAGTGGCGGTCTTTCATTCCAGGATTACCCAAGGTTTGTATTATGGGCATGTGTTCTTTGAATTCTTCTATTTGTTCACGGACCTAAGAATAGTACATATATCATCGTATAGTTCCATTACTGTTCTTGTTATGAAATGTGTATATCGGTACTATAAGGTTTGAAATAAACTGATATTAATTGGACATTAACTCTAAAATATGAATTGGGTCGACGAGACTGTTGTTTTCAATAATGAATTTCGAGTTGACAGTGAACAATTGTTGTTGAATAATCTCTTGATGTTGAAAATATAATAGGAACAGCTGGAAATTTCATTCATTTATAGATTTCGTATAATTCATATGTGAACCTATTTGAAAGTTCTACACTCTGGTCAAGATATTTTTACCAAGGGAGGAATTTTCACTTGTGGTTTCCACAAGGAACAGTTTCAACTCCAATATCGTACTTGATCTTTATAAACACTCTGGAGTCCATAATATCGTTAATACTAAGAAATAACTAGAGATTGCCAGAGTAATCCTCAATATACAGGGTAATTGTTGGGACACAGAGCTACCACGTGTAATAGAGATCAAGATAAGTTGCTTGGACCCAATTTATCTGAATACCAAAACGTACCGTTTGTCCGTGAGAAGAGGTCAAAGTTCACATGAAAAAACACATTTTTGTTCGCTGTTCAGAAATGTGTGAAACAAATTCAATGAAATTTGACGAAAAAGCACTTTAGAGAATTACTCTCATTCTAGTGATCAAAGGAACCCCAAAAGAAGGATTGAAACTACCTCACCCCTGGAGATTTTTCTTAGAATATTCTTAAGGGTGATTATACGGTTTTCAATTTGTTCAAGTAGAGGACAGATCAATTATCCTGATTTTGTTACTCCTGCATCCTGCAAAACCTTTGTAGTCCCCATATTTCCGAGGGGAAAAAATTATATCCAATAATGCTGACAGATATTCCCAGTACAACTTTAATAACATTGTAATACAAAATCAAGTAGGCAGTAAAAACAAAGGCAGAACGTTTTTTTATAATGAATGATGTTTAATATTACGGCCACCTTCATCAATACAAAGGTCAATTCGACGTAAAGAATTTAAATGCTCCTGTTTTTGATGTAAACCTAGAAATCTCCTCACGGGCAAACGGTACATTTTGAAACATGAATAAATTGGGTCCAATCAATTTATATTGACCTCTATCACACGTGGTAGCTCTGTGTCCCAGTAATGTATAACTATAACCAATCAATTATCAGAATATCTTTCCGAAAATCAATCTGTAAGATCTCATCTGGCAATCATCAGGCCAAGTCATATTCTGTTCGTTACCGGACCATGGCTGTTATTTTGAAACACATTTACCAAAATTTAACTCACAGTTGTAGCCAATTTCAGAGTAGCTGGTTTATCAGTGAATATTTTTTCCAACTTGTAAATATTCCTGAAACAAGTACCGACATCCGTTTCTATCGTTTCTGGTTCGTGCGTTCCAACTTGAGACTTCATCCAGAGATCATGTTTATTCAAGAAATCGGTAGCGTTGTCATACAGTTTCTTGTATGGTGTCAGTTTATCGTGGATCTGTTTTCTGAGGGGATATTGGGACAGTTCGAAACCATATGCTTGTTCTTCTTCATTGAAAGCGTCTATCCGTTCCATTGCTTGGATCAACCTTTAATAACAGAAATTGATAATATAAATGTATAGACATAAGTATAGGCGAACAAAGATGAGATTATTGGACATAGCCCTCATAAAGAGTTAGCCCTAGACACGTGTTTCGACCTTTAGGTCCCTATCAGTACGGTGAAAACACTGTGCAGAAGATAGGCAATACTTGGTGGTAGACGAAACAACAAATCGACGGAGTCAACAAACAGAAACCAGTCGCATGATGGGCTTATATCACAAAAAAAAATTATTTCCTAATTCGATAGAACTCACTCGAACTAGCTCACCACCGCAAACCGTTTCTTGCTGTGAACTTCCTACGTTTTATAAAAAATTATTGAAATCCCCGATTTTTCGGACCTCTGAAAACGAGGCGATGATGTGACGTCAAAACCCTAGTACTAAAACAAGACTATTCCAGACAGAGATGAATGATACATGATTCCTGACAGTGTGAATTAGCGCGAGATCACAGTTGAAAGAATCAATTATACCAGTTGCCTCAGTCTCCGTCGGACCTTTGGTATTTTCTTTTAACTATGGCGAGATGAGGTTTCTACGTCATGAGAGGGTCTGTTTTCAGAAGGTACTATTATTTATGTCCAAGAATAAAACATTCCAGTTAATTATTTGTTCGAATTATGTCGTCAATCATTATTTTATGTATAAAAGGATCATTATAAACATCGTTTGAGTTAAAAGTTCTACTAAGGTGTACACGCCCATTGTGGTTTCGGTCAGCAGATCCTGCATTTTCAGGGCTACAACTGACGTCACCACGGAGGCAGCTGTAGCTTCCTGCTTGAATTATGATGGATGAACTCATGAAATGACTGCCACTTGCACTCTAGTCCATTCAAGGCTATACAAAGGTAGACCAAAATGTTCACACCGTCTTTGTCATCATACTATTTTAGTCTGGCACGCAACAAAGGACCCCGCACTAAACTATAGGGAAAATGGCTCGTGATGAAAATCGCTGAATTTTTGTTATGTTGCAGACTTTTATATACTGAACAGATCTTTCATTGAACTAACCTCAAAAAATGGACAGTTTTTCCGATATTGACCTCAAAATGTCATTGTTTCGAGAAAAAAAAGTATTTGAAAATGGTTGAATTTTTGGCATGTTGTAGATAGGAATGAACTGATGAAAAAATCCAATTGACCTAACCTCCAAAAATCTACAGTTTTCTCGATATTGACCTCCAAATGTCATTTTTTCGAGAAAAAAAATAACTGAAAATGGTTTAATTTCTGGCATGTTATAGATAGGAATGAACTGAAGAAAAAATCCAATTGACCTAACCTCCAAAAATTGACAGTTTTCTCGATATTGACCATCAAATGCAATTTTTTCAAGAAAAAAAATCTCTGAAAATGGCTGAATTTCTGGTATTTATTATAGAAAGGAATGAACTGATGAAAAAATCCAATTGACCTAACCTCAAAATATAGACATTTCTTGTTCACTGTCGCAGACCGTTCTCTCTTCAGATCTCTTTACATATCGTAAACAATCATTGAAATTCACGATATTTCATACATGAAAATTGTGGGACAACGCGTGATGATGTCATATACCGCGATCAATCCATTGCAATTATACTATAGTGTACGATTTATGTATTGTGTATACTTTAGTACACAACCCTTCACTCCTACTATGGAAACAAATCATTTATTCTATGAAGAATTTGGAAATATTCTCATTGGTTGTTGAGCAATAAAAATCTAAAAGTGCTAATCGGTATATCGGTATGTCAATGTCACGTCATCGGCGGCTATATAGTGTTGCTGAGAGGTGATTATTAAAAAAATATATTTGGGGTGTATCGAATTTTATAATAGATGGAATGATCAAAATAAAATAGATATATGGCATAAATTCGACTAGAGTGTATACCTACAACCCCATTGATTTCGGAAAGGCTATAACCATCTTTTAAATAATATTTATTTAATTACATTTTCTTCACCTTTGCATGTATCATATGAAGAAGATTTGTTTTAAGAAGAATGAAAGGCCAAATACCAATTAATTAAACTATATTATTGATTATTGTTCCATTCATCTTATTTTCCATTCGTACACTTGGAGGTCAATATCGAAAAACTGTCAATTTTTTGAGGTTAGGTCAATTGGATTTTTTCATCAGTTCATTCCTATCTACAACATACCAGAAATTCAGCCATTTTCAGAGATTTTTTTACTTGAAAAAATTACACTTGGAGGTCAATATCGAGAAAACTGTTGAAAAGGAATATTCTCAGATAAATTATGAACATACATTGAGAATTCGCATTCTCTATCTGATGAGAATATTTACTCTTTTCCAGTTAATTCAATAGAAAACAACTACTTTCCTGTATTGCTTTATATAAATAATATATACCCATTTTTGTATGTTATATATTATTTATATGAAGCCATACATTGAGAATTCGCATTCTCTATGTGATGAGAATATTTACTCTTTTTCAGGTAATTCAATAGAAAACAACTACTTTCCTGTATTGCTTTATATAAATATATATCCTTTTTTGTATGTTCATAATTCATCTGAGAATATTCCTTTTCAACACTTTCATACCCAATCAGGGGGTTCAAACTTGAACGATGGAAACTTGTGATTTTTATAGACCTCTAATCGCAGATTCGTGATGAAGTCTCAATTCAGAATTCATTTCCACGCCCTGTATGATGAATGTCAATTTATCATGCACCCAAAATCGAGAAAACTGTCAATTCTTTGAGGTTAGGTCAATTGGATTTTTTCATCAGTTCATTCCTATTCCTATCTACAACATGCCAAAAATTCAACAATTTTCAGATACATTTTTTTTGTGAAAAAAATGACATTTGAAGGACTATATCGGAAAAACTGTCCATTTTATGAGGTTCGTTCAATGGAATATCTGTTTAGTATATCAATAATGTCTGCAACATACCAAAAATTCAGCGATTTTCATCGAGAGCCATTTTCCCTATAGTTTAGTGCGGGGTCCTTTCGGTATCAAACCAAGCTGTCAACTTCACCAAGTATACTGACCAAGAGTATTTAGTCAAAATATAGTTATTAGTCAGCTTACCAAGACACGGTATAAACGTGGATTATGATTTTTTTATCAAGTTTTGGACGTCTTCGCAAAGCTCCAATGGTTGGAGATATCTTCTGTATCAGAACATTTATGTGCTTGTCACATTTCAATTTTTTATCAATCCACATACCAAAATACTTTAGTTGTGTAGCTCTCTTCAATACTTTATTTTTAATTTGGAGATTGAGACTAATATTCTGTTAATTTCCTGATGGAATGATATATATTCAGTTTTATTGGTATCAATTGGTAAAATGTTTGAATAATGCCATTTTTCAAATTTTTTCAAATATTCGTAGATAATATTTTCTAGATGAAAGAGTTCTTGTTTTCGTATAAAAGTACAGTATTATCTGCATAATAGTATAATCACCTGAAAATCCAATTTTAAAAATATTCTGAATACATAATAAATACAAGATGGGCCCTAAAACAGATCCCTATGGAACACCTTCACTGATTGGAAGTTTATCAGACTCTGATATATTACATCTGCTGAGAAATCAAAAATGAATAACATTCAAGAGGATTTATACCTTTCGTCCAGTTTGGTAGCCTTCTTGTGATACCTTGGCAAATCCTCGACATCTCCGTTATACTGTAGATCGTCCACCATTTTAGCATACAACTCCAAATCCTCATTGAACTTCTTGATTTTAGCAGTTAGTTGTACTTGGAATTCTTCTATTTTAGAATCCACCATCTGTCGATGTTCTTCTAGCACTTTCGGCATGTGCAAATACCTGAATCAATTCGAATATTTAAAGCTCAGAGCAATTTATCCTGATTGAACTGTTTATCTTTCATTGTATTGCATATTTGATTTTATTTCATTTTACTTGTTTCCCTCTATAAACATCGTATGTTTCTTGGGATAAATAAATGTTATTATTATTTTTTTTCTACTTGTTTCTTTAACGTCGGCCTTTTTTTGCTACTGAGGCTAATCACCGACGCCGGTGAGCACACTATAACCCCCAACCGGAATTTTTGCCGAATCCTCTGGTGTTCCAACCAGAGGTAGGGATCTTTAACGAGTCCAACATCCATGGCCTCGGGACCGCCGGCTTAACGTCCCCTCCGAAGGACGGCATATCCATACCATATCTTGTGCTCATTGATATGGTAGCTGTAGCTATGATATGCTATGCCGCTACAGATGTACGGGCTTACGCGGCGTTTCCTCGAATGGTCACCCATCCAAGGGTCATTCCCGGAATACGACATGAATGAACATAATCATTCATCGAAATTTTTTGAATGTGTCCTCAAAAAATAACCCTGGGTATAACTACATATTTATCTCACTGTAGTCCAAAATAAACGAAGGTACTAACCATAAAATCAGATAGATCTCAGACTTTTTTCTCTTTGATTTTCAGGTGTCCATGGGTAGATTACTTTCTGGAGAAATGTTTACCAGAAAATGACTGGAGAAGCGGGAAAATGCCTCAATGGTCCCCAGAATTTGGTTTTCCCGACTATCCATATAGGTTAGAATAGGTATAATAAATTGCCTTCTTCTTTGGAGATTCAGGGTGTATTTATGAAAAGCGGGACACACTGTAGAACAGATTACCGAACGTCCAAATGGGAAACCTAGGCTTCTCGCGAGAAGCGAATTCGTATGCCCATGTCATGATTACAAAGAGGAAAAAGATGGGTTGAGTTCTGGTGCGCATTACACTCCACTTTGCCAAATATCAGAAACAGACTAATTTTTGTCAGTTTCATTATTGAACTTGAATATATACTGATCTGTGTAGCTAAAGTGTTGTCAGGTTCACTTCACAACACGACATCAGTATGCCGCAGTCATAATGGCTGTTTAAGAAAATGTAATCTGCATATTATCTCATTTTCGGAAACAACTTCAATCTGTTCGTATCGTAATCATCCATAATGTTAATATTACTCAAATGGACCAAAGATATTTTTATGGATGATTTTCTTGTCAACCTGACGAGTATGCACAGATGATGACTGTTAGTCGAAAGCGCTCTGCTATGAAAAATCAAATTGAATTCATTTTGCACGAAATACAACTTTTAGTACTATTTTGATAATATTTTGTTGTTATCAGAATACGTGGGGCGCATACACTTTCGATATCTGATGAACTCGAGTATTTCTTTGTGACAGTTTTTCCTTATTTTTGAAAACCTGAACACGCTTCCCCCACCAGTGAAAGGACATATCATACATATAACTTTTGTTTAGCACCTAATCTTCACATGACGCTCGAGTAAATCTCTATTTAGCCTCTTTGCCACCCATACTCCAATGAATCTTACCATTGGAATGCTATGTTGTTCTGTTTCATTTCTACAGGTGTGAAGAGAGCGTGATCAGCCAAGAATAGTATGTACCCCATCACTTCTCTGAGGCGGTCTTCCATTGATATGAGAGTTTTCGTTTCAACTTCGTCGACATATCTCATCAGGTCCATCAAATCCGCTGTGCTTTCTGGCACAGTTAAGGCTCTATCTGATATAGCTTGATATTCTTCTCCCAACCTGAAATGATATGAGATAAGGCAGTGGGAAAGAACAACAAGGACTTATTGGCACATCCTGTATAGCTGGAAGGTTGAAACTATTTCGAGTAGATTGGGAATAATCGATTATAAGAGCAACTTATTCAGCTAGAGCAGCGTGAGTAAATTTTTTTAGCCAATTATAGAAGTAGCAGAATCAAGATGAAATAAGTTCAATTGTCTCGTGTGATGACCATGCATTTCTGAGTTTCTTATCAAAACAAAATTGGATTTCAGATTATTGTTTATTATATTATATGAAACTTTCAGAGAATCTATTTTATATAATCCATCCAATGAAATTTTTTTGTCATCGCATACAGATCATTTGTTGGGATATCAAATGAGAGGCGATACAATACTTCCAATGCTTTCTTATAAAGTGCAGATATTTTACTGAAATAATTTTTTGAACAACATCCCCAAACGTTTATCATATAGGTAATACGACTGCATATATGAGAATGAAGTTTAGGACATCTTCGCAAAGCTCCAATGATTGAAGATATTTTTTGTATCAGAACCTCTATATGCTTGTTCCATTTCAATTTTTCATCAATGGTTAATCGATCTCAATAATACGTATTTCATACGAGTATCAGCTAATACTCCATTATTTTCACAATAAAATATTTCGAAATGATCACACAGTATAGAGTTTCATCAAGAGTACCTCTTTGATGTTGAATTAAATGGTGTTCAATTCACATGAAAATTGGTCTGAAGAATCTAAGGAAAAAAAAGTTATGTTTAAAATTACTCGGTACGAATCGTGTAGCTAGCGTCCTCTATGGGAGTCCGATATAAAAGCAAATTGTGTCAGTTTCCCGAACAAATTCCATCACAATGCTGCCAGTAGTTTCGACCTTATCTTAATAAAATGTGTGGAAAATATTTTTTCAACACCTTGTATCTTGGAAACGAAAGCCGTTTCTTACTGACCGGACCCAACTTATTTTGCAGTGTTCTTTCTACCCTAGCAAGAGGGTTACCTTTCTTCAAACACCCTGTATGAAAAGAATCAATGTCGGTATCTTACGTCTTACAAATTAGTTGATAATCCTTGGTACATCGAGAAATCAAAACGTTTTTGAAATCATCTGCAGCTGTTTCCAGGGCCTTGATCAAGTCTTCCCTGTTCATATCATACATTCCCATACGTATGACATGCTCAGTAGATAAAGGAATTGTATCCATGATATCTTTATATCTTAGGATTAATTTAACGTATTCTTCGAAAGGATGTTCTCGCTCTAGAAAACTATTGATGAATCCCTCGTCTTTTCCATTCATCAAAGGCAGAAACTCATCGAAATCTTGAACTTTCAATTCTGGGCCTATTCGTTGATCTTCCAACATATCCCTTATTTGAATCTTATAACCCATTACAATTTCTTCCAAAATTGTTGGCTGAAAATATATTTTATATTCCAACTTCTTGATGGATTGTGATGAGCATTCATACTCACCCTCAAGAATACTTCTTCTTTCCAATCGAGATATAATTTCGTCTCCAGTCTTGGAATATCCATTACAGCATCTACTATATTATCAACTAAAGTTATCAAAACCTCTCTGAAATTTCTGAAAGATGGTTCGAAAACCAATATATTGACTCTTTGTTGTAGTTTTATCTGGAAGCCTTTGTTAGAATACTAAAATAATAATCACTATTTCTTCAAAATTTCCATGGGTCATGTTGAATAAATTACCTTCACATCCAATATGTAATTGACATAATCATATAGAGATTTCAAACAAAGAGTTTGTAGGTGGTAAGACATGATGGTGGCAACTGCATTATAGAATGATTCGACTTTTTTTGGTTTGCTAGCATCTGGTAGCTTCTTCTTTCTGTTTCCTTGTAAGAATATATCAGTCACATCGGCATAATAGTGCATCATCAACATTTCTTTACATCTCTCTATATGTTTGTTGGCGAGATATTTGAACTCTTGCAATTCAAAGGCACCTTCGTGGGTTTTCATCTCATTGATATTTATCAATCGCAAATTTCTATAATAATTAACGAATTGAAAATTAGGTTCAACTACAACTTCTAAGAATATTAACTTTTTTTGTATGATTTGTCTGCCTGAAGTATATGTAATACATGTAATTTATCAATCGGCAGAATACTATTTCAATAATATTTCACGCCGAGAAAGTTGTGTAGTAAACAGAGAATTGTATGCGAAGAAACTAATAAACATAAACGGAAAAACAGCAATATCCTATAAAACTAACATTTCCTATAATTTTATGTAGTGTCATCAATGAATATCAATAAAATATCAAATATCAAATTGCAAAATAACCAAAAATACCACATCAAGTCTCAATACGTATTTCGGCAACTGAGTGGCCATCCTCAATAAAACTGAAGAGCGCAAAAGTATTAGCTGACAAATTATTTGTTTGCAAATTGATTCTTTTTTTGAGCTAAGTGTGAAAAAAATCACGAAAATTCCACTTCTGTTGCCTTCATTTGTTAAATCACCTCGGATTCTATGAGAGTCTGAATCATGTACAGGTTGAACATTTATATTTTCTAGCAAAATTTGACAAGGCCGGTCCTGGAAGCACAATGTTCAAAATATGGCAAATTGAAGCTATGTTAGTGGGACATAAAATCACTTGAGAATTTCACGTGTTGCAATAGTATGATATTTTGTCTCTGTAGCATAGATGCGTTCGACTTATTATTCGCAAGGCATGGCATCTTGACAGATTTGCAGTTTTTCTACTAAATGCTTCGGAGCATACAGATTATTTATCGAATCGTTATATATCCCAGGTGATTTTCCGTCGGAGACGTCATGCACTAATTTCTGACGTTACTTTGACGTGCTTGCTATGATATCATTACGACATTTAGTAAACTTCACTTGGATAGGTGAAATAAGACGTCAGTTCCATGACGTGACAGTGACGTAGAATCACGTCGGTGTGACATACCAATTCGACTTCGTATCTCGAAGAATTTGTCAAAAAATTGCTATTCAAATTCTTCTTTGGTAATTAAAAAATGTTGGGTGACAAAAAATACATGAGTATTTGTTACCCAACCAAATGAAGCTAATTTCGACAACATTCATTACATTGCAATCAAACTATCCTTGGTTTGCTCTTGCTCACATTTCGTCGATACTCACTATATATTATTTTCGGTACAAATAAGAGTAACTGATTTCATTCTGATGAAAGATAATTGAACGAGACAAAACGTCGTCTTCATATTTTTCAAATTCTTCTAGGATACAGAATGGCGAACACGCCTGAACTTGGTCAAACTTTCAAACTTGTTGGAACTTTTTTTGAGTCGCACTGTATATTTTTGCGTATGATATTCTGAAAGCGTGTACTTTTGTGAATAGAACAAGAGGTCAAAGATACAAATCCGTTGAAAATAACTTGATATATGACAGGATGAAGACAGGTGTGTTCTCACATTTTGATTTCTATTTTCTTTGCAATTTTGCAAAATCAAGTTGGTGAGTAACCACAGATATAACAAACATCGCTTGTCTTCTGAATTATTGACATTTTAAGTTAATCATTTCGAAGGGTTTGAATTCAAGATGGTGCTCTCCAATGACGATAAAATTTGTATAAAAACTTTGATTTTGAGGGGGTACAGGGTGCATGAGATTCTACAACAAGTTCCTGCCATGCGGTTTGAAAAAAGCACAATATACGACTTCTTCAAAAAAATTAACTTAACGCAATCCATTGCAAGACGCGATGGAAGTGGGCGCCCAAGAAGTGTCAGAACCGAAGTAAGTGAGCTGTTGTCAATTCAAATGTCTTATGATTCACCCAAAACTATTGTAGGAAAATATTCTATGAGTTTTGAATATGGCAGTCAGTCCTGAAAGAGCGCCTGGGACCAGCATAAGCGTTCCGCAAATTGCCAGATGTGAAATTCCTCGTAGTTCTATCAACAGAATGATAAAAATTGATTTGGGATACAAATTTGTGAAACTCACTGCTAAACTCAAATACAGAAGATTGCTGAGATGCAGAAGCCTTTTGAATAAATTTAGAGCCATGAGAGATATTGCAAAAATGTGGTTCACAGATGAGGAGATATCCACAATGAATACCTTGAAAAATGCGCAAAATGATAGATTATGTATACCTTTCTACCAACGGATACGGCAGGCACCATTGATCCGTCTATTTAGGGAAAGAGACAAGTTTGGCAAATGCTCAATAGTTTCTTCAGGAATTTCGAGAAACCATCAAGTTGATTTGATTCTCATTGAGCAAGGGGTCAGGTTGAATTCCGAAAGTTATTACGACACCGTTTTAGCCCAAATGCTTCCGCAAATAGAGGATCTGATTCCGGAATTCATTTCTATGCAAGTATATGTGTATATATACACGCAGAGATCTCTGGCTGTCAGATACGAAGAGTGGTCAACAGGGGGACTCCGCAGGGGGGAGTGCTCTCACCCCTACTGTGGACCCTTACTCTCAATGGCTTTCTCCAGAGAATGGAAAGGCTAGGAATTAAAATTGTGGCCTATGCCGATGATATTGCGATTATGGTTTCAGGAAAATTTCCAGAGACTCTGTCGGATGTCATGCAGGAGGCACTAAATGAACTCGTGCACTGGTGCAACAAATGCGGCCTAAGTATGAACCTGGGCGGAACGGAGCTAGTTCTCTTCACGGGGAAACACAAAATACCCTCCTTTCGCCTTCCCGGTATAGGGGGCCAAGAAATAAAACTCTCCGAACCAGCTAGGTACCTAGGACTTGTCCTTGACCGAAAGCTGTTATGGAGAGAAAATATAGAGGAAAGGGTGAAAAAGGCGACAGTTGCGCTGTACACCTGCAGAAGAACCATTGGCAAACAATAGGGGTTGAGACCCAGCATTGTCCATTGGTTATACACAGCGGTCGTAAGACCCATACTCATGTATGGATCATCAGTATAGTGGCCAGCCCTATGTAAGGAGGTCAACCAAAAAAGGGTGAGAAAGATACAACGAGTAGCTTCCGTTTCCATGACGGGGTGTCTTAGGACAACCCCGAGTAAAGCCCTGGAAATGATCCTACATCTAACCCCATTGGACCTATATGGAAAAGAGTGCGCGGCTACCATCGATAGTTGGCGACGACGTGTGGAATTGGTGGTTGAAGCTCATGGGGATCATATGAAAATTTATTTTTTTTTTAATTTGTTTTTAGTGTACTCTCTTTTCTTTATGTTGTACGTTGGAGTAAATACAGTTATTCGTTATTTTTCGAACAAAAAATACAAAAAGTCCGTTGAATGCAAGAAAATTGAAATACAGATCTGAAAACACATGCACCCGTCAGTTGATTTCCAACAAATTTGTATCTTTGATCTCCTATCGTATACGCAAAAATATAAAGTGCGACTCAAAAAAGTTCCCGGAAATTCAAAAGTTTGATCAATTTCAGGCGTGTCCGCCATTTTGTTTCCTGGAAGAATTTGAAAAATATGAAGTTGACGTTTTGTCTTTTTCAATTATCTTCCAAACAAGACGAAAATCAAAGAAATCGGCTCAATAATAAAAAAGTAATTATCCAAAAACAAAATTCCGGTTTTTTGGACAACCCTAAATTGAAGAAAGTGTGAATCTGTGAATCCAAATAGTATATTGGAGAATCATGAAATGCATCTGAGTACCTGTAGTTCTTGTACCATAAGTCCAACACTGCTGCCAAACAAGGATTAATAATGTGCAAACTCCGCTCCATTTTGAGTTTAGCCGAGTTATAATTGGGTCTGAAACTATTTCCAATATTTCTGAGCTCTTTTTTATGAGAAGATTCAGTTTCACCATGACGTTTAACAAAATTGGGATCTTGCAGAACGAAGTCTATTATTGCCTTTTTCACTGCCATCATGAAATCTTCCTTCACGTCTTTGATAGACTCACTGAGTGTTTCTTCCCAAACCATTAGTTTCCGGGGAACCAATGCCAGGACCTGCAAAAATATATTCTTCTGTGGCAATATTAGGTGAGGAATTCGATATTCCTCATCAGTATATATTATGTTCGTTACCTTGTATTAGGAATGAAAATATCCATGGATGATATAAAAACATATTATGTGAATATGCATAATGATAAATAAAGAGATAAAATAGTTATTTATTATACAAGGGAAAAAAGTTGTAGATTTTAGCTCCAGGTTGTGTTGTCTCCCGACGCGTAGCGGAGGGAGACAAAAAACCGTGAGCTAAAATCTAATATTTTTCCCGTGTATAATACACTATTTTTTTCTGTGACAGAAGGAAGGACGAATCAATATTGAGAAGATATTACATTATTTCGAAATCTGAAAATTATCGACGTGAAATTTCAAGTTTTTAGTAGTAGGGACACCTGCGTTTTGTAGGCATCTTTATCATTCTTTTGAAGTAATCAAATATCTGATGTCACTTCTGTCAGTTCAATTCTGTGATTTGATTTTGAAAAATTGCGAATTCAGTAGTTGTTTAGTAATATACGAAACCGCGAAGTCGAATGGAAGATAAAAGGATTTGCAGTTCTTTCTCGGAGACGGTATTATTGACTCATTTTTCGGAACTTTAGCACAACAAAAGCCATTAACAGAGTATATATATGTGATATATATCCGGGAAAAAAGTACTCACTTTTTTCCCACGGGAAAAAAGTAATTTATGAAAAGTGACATTTTATAACCTGCCAACAGAGATGAAATGCCAAACTTTTTTCCCGTCACAGAAAAAAAGTATTTTTTGAATGTATGATAAATTGACATTCATCATACAGGACGTGGAATGAAATTCTGAAGAATTCTGAAGAATGGCTGAAAGAATAACTGGACTTCAGGTTACTGATGAGGATATGATATCCGAAATGAAGTTTCAAGCTCATCAAGATTAGAGTTCATACAAGTATACTTCTCCTATACATTTCAATTTTCATCTCAATACTGAACATATCGGTGAGTTATATTTTTATATAATAATTCATAATATTCTATTGGATTCGAGAGATGATGTTAATTCTCAATTCAAGAGGATTTTGATTTTTCATGCTCTCTTTTTTTGGATATTCAACAGGTATAATTCAATGTTCGACGTGGCAAATAGCCAGGAAAGTTGTTTTTTTCTGTTGAATATTCAGAATTACATTAAATTCATATCTTTATATGAAGGAGAATGCAAATTCTCTACTTCAGAAGATATTTTTTTTTCAATAGATGTAATTCAATATTCATCGTGGCATATAGCCAGGAAAGTAGTTATTTTCTGTTGAATAAACCGAGAAAGAATTGATATTTTCATCACATGGAGAATGCGAATTCTCAATGTATTTCTTTATATACCCTTTTTTTTGTGTTCATTAATTTATTCAATAGAAAAGTATATTCGAATTATTCCTGAACTTCAATAAAAACTTGTTACATCTTCAATTTGAAATTATTCAAACAAACAGAAACCTCATCAAGTATTTCAGTATTGTTTGCTAAATTCCAAATAGTAAGGGATCTCACCATTTCATCATATTCAGATGACCAAGCATTTTTTTCCACATAATATAAAGTTCTGGATACAAAGATTACCCGTGGAAAAAATTATGCGATTGTTTCTGTAATGGGCGAATAATTCATAATCAAAATCACAAATTCCTAACATCAACAGGCAGATTTTCCTAAGATTGCGAATTATAGCTGCGAAGTTTGAGAACAGTTTGATGTCATTTTCATTTATCAAAATTATTTGCACAGGAACCTCTAGAAAGACCTTCAAGAAATTAGTTGGATACGTTCTCTGACGCAAACAGATTGGGCTTGATCTATTTGCAAAATATGTGTTTCTTTGAAAGGATATTGCAATGTGATTCATACATATACTAAGAGTCCAGACCCATTGAGAATCAGTGAGGATTACAGGAGCGTTTGAAGGTGATTTTTTCCGTTGATTCTTCAATAATGCGAAAATTGTAGCGCCCAGGAAAAAAATTACACCATAAAAAAATGTTTTCTTAATTTTCCGTCAACAATAAATACGTTGTGAGCTACAAGGGATGAAACTATCAAAAATTGAGTAGAATGCCATGTGATTGACGTTTGACATGAACGGTAACAAAAAAAACCATTAGAACATCAGTAAAATAACCTGACCTGTTCAGTATCGCTTGGGGTGCTATAATGAGTTGATTGGGAAAGGAGTCAAACAATGGTAGGAACTGATGAGAACAACAAATCGCCTATTTTGCAGTGGATATCAACATGATATTCCATATTTATTGACCAACTGGCATATCTCGAAATGTTAAAGTTGCAGCATCGTGAATGGTGGTGTGTTGTGCAGCCCTAGCGCTATCATCTCCAACAATTTTATATATTTCTTTGACATGGTTAGTCACCTAGATCTTGAACTTGTGTGGAGCTCGAAGATCCACTCTCACGTAGAAGTTTATTTTGGACCATATTATTCAGTTGGTGTCTGCATTGGGGAGTATGAACCCAAAATATGAAGGGTCTAGGAAAACACATAAAAGTTTCACTCAGTTGCTGAATGACAGTTGATACTTTCTGAAATACAATTCACTAATCTGCAATACAGAGGTATTATGCTTTCTGAATCACAATTGATAAATCTGAATTTGAAGTAATACTTCCTGAGTTGCAATCAAAAATTCTGAATTACATCTTATACTTTCTGAATAACAATTGAAAAAGGTGGAGTGGGTATGTATATAAGATTAATCCACTGTTGTTGATCAAGATTCTGTTTGAATAGAACAAAGACAACCGACAAACACCCTATTACTTGTCATCCTTCTTGAGAGAAGATTTTTGAAAAATACAACTCATTCCATCAGATATCTTGATCATTGTTTGAATTATTACTGTAGTCCTGTTCGATAATACTGAACCTTTTCAACACTACATGTGCATCCACCAAAATTTCCAAAGACAGAATAAGTTATTTCAGAGTGTAGACTGTATCATTTCCGATAATTAAAGTGACCTACAATACTGATACCCTAAACACATTATGTTTAGTGCCTTGAGATAGTGTTAGGTCTTCCTAATCATCAGTGTTGTTTTTTCAAATATTGGTGAAGGCACTTATTTGTGAATTTTATAGGTATCACTTGAATAGATTTTTATTGAAAAACGGTGAGGCTTATCGACATCAAAGAGGGCAAACTTTTATTGAGAAAGCGTTTTGTGCTAAGTAGTTCTAATCGTCGAAATAATCTAAAGTATTTGTTGATTTTTTTTAAATTTTGGTGAAGGCACTTTCTCTTGCTCTTCAATCAGTTGAATTGATTTTGCTAGAAATAGGTAAGGTTTATCCATAACCAAGATGAGAAGTTTCTTTCGAAATAGTGCTTAGTATGTTTGATCGTTCTAATCGTCGAAAAAATAGAACATAGTCTGGGTATTCTAATGTAAAGTATTTATTTTTGTTTTATGAAATTTTGATGAAGGCATTTTTTATGTGTATCAACGTCGTGAAATGTCGAACAACTCTTTATCAAAACTCGTTTGCGTATAAAACGGTGAAAATTTTGAATTCTCCACTGAACTAAGCATTTTCAACAGCTCAAAACCTCTTAGAATTCCCTTGAAGTTTCGATAAGTAATTAAATTAATTTCGATTTTGAACATTTCTTCTAATGAGAATGATTCAGTTATTTTATATAATTGATTTGTTGGTGTATCATATGGTAAACGATACAGTACTTTCAATGTCTTTTCATATAATGCAGATATTTTATTTAAATTGTTTTTTGAACAGTATCCCCAAACATTTATCAAATAGTTAATACGACTGAGTATATGAGAATATAGAATTATATATAAATGACATTAAATTTTTGCGAGTGAGTTTTAGTACCAAACATTCAGTTTACAATAACAAGATAGGATTAACAGCATATTATAGACCTCCTTCAACAATCACTCAAGACTACTTAGATAATCTGGAAATATACTTACAGCAACTTGAAAATCAAGACTTAGAAATATATTCAGGAGATATCAACATAAACATTCTACAAACGGAATTGAACGAAACAACTAAATATTTGAATATACTGAATTCATATGGTTTCATTTCACATATAAATAAACCTACAAGGGTAACTTCTACATCTAAAACAGCTATAGATCACATTTTCATAAGGAATTCGAAAATAATAAGAAACCATATTGAAATAGACCCAATAATTTTCCAGACTGATATCACTGATCATTTTGCACCATTCGTGTATATATCTTTCAGAAAGCATTCAAATTTAATTGAAGAAAGAAATGAAGTTACATATAAAAAAATAAATTATCAAAAACTCAATAATTTACTCGGTGATGAGGAATGGAATAACGTAATAGAAATAAATAACGTGCAAAATTCATATGATAGATTTATTGGAACACTGAATAAATATACAGGGTGTAAATTTGAAAACTTTCAATGCGAATATCTCGCGAAAGAAAAAAGTTAGAAAAACGCCGTTTGGCAAAAATGCTAAAGAGTTAGGGGGAACTAGAACCACCATATTTCGGTCAAGGGATGAGTCACCCCGTCGGCGCGACACACCCCAACTTTGAAATGTCAAATGGCACTACCTTTTTTGTGATGCCTCAAATGAACCGTCTCAGTAGTTGGTAAATTTGGTACTGATTGTCCTATTTTGAAGATACGAATCTAAAAGGTTCCTTATCATGCCTCTGAGTCCCATTGATTCTAAATTTTCCAAAATTGTTATGTGGTCTACTATATCGAAAGCTTTTTTGAGATCAACAAAAATTGCTATCACATAATCTCCGGTATCAAGTCCTTTTTGTATTGCTTGTATTACTTGTAATATTGCCGCTTGTGTGCCACTATTTTCTTGAAAACCAAATTGATTTATGTCAAAGCTATATTTTCTATTTATAAAATCTACAATGCGTTTTCCAAGAATCTTCTCAACAATTTTGGAAAAAATGCTCAATAAGGCGATTGGTCTATAATTTTCTGGATCTTGAGTATCTCCACTTTTGTAAATATAGAAAATTGAAAAGGACAGAAGTTCAGCTGTGTCCGAACTCTTATCTACTAATACCATCTAGTGACTCAAGCGGTAACCATCCTTGTCGAACCGCAATCTATCACGATGCGCTCTGAATAAACGCCTAGCTAATATCATACAGGGTGTCAACGAATTCATTAAACAAGCCATAGTCTCCAGAGTTCTGAAGGTACCTATGATATTCAAACTTGGCAGGGGTTTTGCAATTGTAAAATTTTTCGATATTCAATATTAATTTCCGGTTTCACCTGAGACGACTCCTACTTTTAATTTTCAAATGGAAAACCCAGTATCTTAATCCACAAAACGGTTAGGGATTTTCATGAAGAATTCAACGATACCGGATTTGATAGGGTTAGGTCAAACGACTACGAAGATATTTGGGTTCGAAGTTTCCATTATGCTGAATGGGTGTTGCAAAATCATTTCTCTGTAACACTGGCTTGTCTAGGCTAGGAAATTCGTTGATTCCCGATATATCTTACCCTGCTCAGAACTTTTTGATCCAATGGTGCTACATGCACAGTATCCACTCCATGTTTCACGTAATAGTAATATCGTAACATTTCTCTCTCCTCTGAGGATGGTATCTCATCATCTCCAATTTCACGTTCTTCATCATTACCAACTATCAATTTGATCAATCGATTCCTGAATTCTTCTCTTTGTTTTCTTAGGGCAGTATAAGATTTCAGTTGGCATTTCTGTGCAGTAGCTGAAAATTAATATACAGTGTTTTCGAAAAGTAGTAAATGAATCAATTTTGTATCTAAATCATTAATTTCTGAGAAACCAGATACACGTCGATTCTTATTTTTAATTTGCCAAATTGCCACTATACAGGGTTATTCACGTTTGAGGTATGACATCCGATAAGGAACACCTTATAAATTATTCAATTTTTGGATTTTTTATCCCTTGGAGCGCACGAAATTTTTTCCTCAATTCGCCACATTTCTAAGGAAAAATCAAATATACAGGAAGATTAACGTTCGAGATAATAATATGACGTACGCGATAATTTATTCAAACGAAACACCTTATATGTTATTCAATTTCTGGAATTCTCATGAAAAGCTGCGGATTCAGAAATATATACCAAAATAGTACAAAATGTTGTATTTCGTGCAAAATAATTTATTCAAATTGTATGTTGCTGCTAGAGCGCTCTTGACTGTCCATCAGTCATCATCAGTAAGTACTCGTCAGGTTGACAAGAAAATCATCCATCTTTGGTCCAATTAAGTAATATTAATATTATGGCTAACTACGGCAGAGACAGATTGAAATTTCAACTACGAAATAGCTCAAAGTGGAATGAAATATTAAATTAATACAAAAAGCTCAAAATCATTTCCACACAATGTTTATAAAATGAACAACAATGGTAGGTTTCGGGAGAAAAACAACTACTTTTCTGGCTAATGCCACGCAGAGAATTGAATTTCATCCTCCCGGAATCTATGCATCGACTCGTATATAGACGAATATTGATACAAGTGATTTTTTCTTGAATGCCTATCGATTTTGATTTAGCCAGGCCAAGCTAAACACCTACAGACCGGTTTCGAGTTCTTCGACTCTCATCAGTGCAGGGCAGTCTCCAGTCAGCAGTCCTGAGACCGCCGACTAAGCGTAGCCTAGCCAAACAAAAATCAAGTCGGCATTATATTCCCTCAGAGGCGTCATCTGAGTTGAAAGGAAGCAAAGAAACACTCCAAAACTAAAATTCCCATAAAATAAATACAGAAAGCTCAAAGTCATTTCCACACAATGTTCATAAAATGCATCCTGCATTAACCACATTTTCCTTCTGACAGCTATAGTGACAGATTACCCAAAATATCACTGAGAGTATTTTGCAAAAAAAAATTAAAATCTCCATTCAGATTTGGAGGCAGAACATATGGCCCTAGTAGTTGGTCGTTTATAATGCCACACCAAATATTCAATTTAAACTCATGCCGAAAATGTCTTTCTATCAAAGCATGCGGATTTTGTTCTTCCCAATACCCCTCGTATGGTAAAAGGTAAAACTGTAACCTACGTGGGAGATCTCTCGGAAGCAAATTTTGAACAGGAGTGAAGTGATAAGGGGGAAACTTCTCTCTTTTCAGAATTCTAATAATAGACGACTGACTAACTCCTGTTGCTGCTGACAAATGACGTGAACTCACTCTAGGATTTTCATCTATTCGAACCAAAATTTCATCTTCTTGATTAGGTGTGATTCGTTTCGATCACCTTGATTTTTACTGTGAAATGATCCGGTTTCACCAAAACGATGAAATAGATTTGAGAAAGTTTTGTGATTTGGTTGCCTTCTGTCTGGATTCATACCTTCTGGCTGCAGAGCGACCGCAAAAATGATCTTGTGCGTATACAAATCATATCCCGCATTTCTTCATTCGTAAAATGATCTGACAAGGCATTTCAATCGAAAACATATGGACTATAAACTCGCACCGAAATTCAATCACTGACGAGAAATATCATTCAATTATCTGACAGTCCAAAGCACACTCTTTATGAATGAAATAATATTTGAAATCCCCTTCCGAGACTCTGGTTTGTTCAATTGCGTTTTTCTCGAAAACGGATGAATTTATCATGTTCAAACAAGAGTACTGATATTACGTGAATAAGATGTTGAATTCACATTTTTCAATTGAAATTACTAAAAAGTTCCGTCAAAAAAAGTGAAATGATACATAAAATATTATTCCCTGTATAAATAAATTAGGCTTCTGTGCCGATTTCGATAACAATTGATGATTATACAGTGAAATTATTAGCAAAGAAAGAAAAAAAATCAACTTTAACGCCCTATATCTTTTTCCACAGCATTATTTGGTCCTATCGCCATATTTTGGTCCAGATAATCCGCCCTTAGCCTATGTCCCAATAGTTATGACTCACCCTGTATAGTCAATAAGTTGTGCTTCTTGTCGCATTGTTATGGTCAAGTTTTTTTATAAAATAATACATGTTTATTTGGAAAATTCGAGGTACGTACCTTTTCGTTTTTCAACAGCAAACTTTCTCTTGTATTTCGAATGTGAGGATGCAAGGATTGGTTTCAAGAGTTCTGGTGGCAGAGAAAATATTGTCCTATCTTCAATATTGAAATCCGAAGGTAGCGTCAATCTTGGAACTTTGATATTGAGATCACCTCTAGCTTCTAGTTTAGCTCTTTTTTCTGTGATTTTTCGTACTAGTCGATCTCTCTCAACGTCTCTTGAAGACATTTTTGATAGATCTTGAAAAGAGATTATGAATATATTTCAAGAAGCCATTTTGTCACTCAAAATCAATAAGTGACATGGATGTCACTGAGCAAGATAGTACTTCCAGGTAACCTTGCTTTAAGGTAAGGTAGCCTCTTGTCTCCTTGGGCCTGCTTGGAATGATTCGTACCCTTGGATTGTGAATGAAATAGGATAAAATTATTATATCATATTATTATACTATCTGTAGCTTTAAATCGAGGAGGTGGTATGTTCCTTGAGACGGATACATGCAACATTCATTATAATTATATATTCACTACATTATAGTTACATTTTCACTGGCCGCGAGGTACCCGTTCCTGCAACTTATGCTCCTAATGAACTAATTATTCGAGGTTATGTGATCTGTTTGATGGATTTTTCAAATATTTACAGGTTATTTGAGGATATGTGTTTATCTTGAATATAATATCTGAGGAGAATAACAAATTGTTTTTATGAAAATAATGATCATTCAGTGCCAATCAGTCGTTTCCACTAGAACTTTCATGTGATTATAATGGTTACGAACTCCAGAGTCTGCCTCTACGCTAAAGCTAACCTTTCATGCCAGCGTGTAGAGAGTTTGGAACCGAATGACCAAATTTATCTGCTGCCTTCACCTATTGCCTAATGATAATGAATATAACAACCTCTTTGAGTTTTTATCACTCAAACTGGACTTCATTCAGGAGAACCATCCAACAGCTGAAATCATATTCATTGGAGACTTCAATGTGCAAAACGCAGCCTGGCTCAAATTCTCCCGAACAAAACAGATGATGCAGGTCGTCAAACTGAGGCCTTCGCCATCACCCATGGTCTAGAACAACTAGTCGAACTACCAACCCGCATTCCAGATGTCAACAACCAGTCTGCCAATACACTAGATCTTTTCCTCACCAGCAATCCTGATCCATATAGAATAGAATTTGGTACCCCACTTGGAAACTCTGACCACACCCTCATCTCTACAACCTGCTCTTTCCATGTACCATCCAGCACCACAATTTCTACCCGTCTCATGTGGAATTACAATTAGGCCGACTGGGATGGTCTTCGTATGTTTTTTCCAGCGTTTCCATGGGAGAGAGTTTGTTTCTCCTCAGCAGATCCAACACGATGTGAGACAATTTCTGTAATCATCATGTTGGGGATGCAAACCTACATACTAAACACTGCAAGGAGAACATTTCCGATGAGGGCCTGGTTCAGTAGAAACTGCTCTAGAGCTGTCGCTTCCAAACAGGCATCATTTTTTCGATGGCAGTAAAATCCAGGCCATGAAACTAGATCAGAATATGTCGAGGCTAGAGGCATATTATGCAATGAGACAATTCGATCATGAAAGAATGCTGATAATGCCAAAATTAGATCAAAACTTGTTGAATGTCCTAACGGATCCCGTTCATTTTGGTCCTTCGCCAAAGCTGTAGGAAAAAACTTCACTTCTAGCTCGTTTCCTCCTTTAACCAAGGGAGATGGAACACTAGCCACAACTGACCAGGAGAAAGACAACACTTTTGCGCATTCATTTGCTGGAAATTCCACTCTAGATTCATCGGAAGAACAAACTCCAAACATAACGCCAATTTACAGTCATATGTTCGAGATCACCTTCCGCCAACGTACCATAAGGAAGATTTCATTGGGTCTCAACACTAACAAAGCTTGTGGCTCCAACGGAATCCCACCGATTGTTCTCAAGAAATGTGGTCCCGAACTAACAACCAGTTATCTGCAAGTTGTTCAACTACTCTTACAAATTGGGGATATTCCCGTCCAACTGGAAAATTGCAAGAGTAAAACCAGTTCCTATAAAAAGAAAAAAAGACCCGACCTAGCAACTACAGACCGATCGCTCTGCTATCTATTATTTCAAAGATCATGGAGAAAGCTATCAACATCGAGCTCATGAAATACCTGGTACATTCAGGTATTATCAACGATAGGATATGGCTTCCGTCATCAGAGATCAACTGGTGACCTGCTCGCTTACGTCTCACATATATGGCAGCAATCTATTGAAAAATATGGTGAAACCTTATAGCCGTGGCACCTGATATCTCCAAGGCATTCGATCGAGTCTGGCACAACTGACTCCTCGACAAGCATCCATCTTATGGCTTGCCTCCCAAGCTATGTTCTCTGCTAGCTAGTTTCATCTCAAACAGGTCTCTCCATGTAGTGGTCGACGGAGTTTCATCTGACTCTCTTATCATGAATGCTGGTGTTCCGCAAGGATCAATTCTAGCACCAACACTATTTCTACACCATATCAACGATTTAGTTGGAAGAAACTTCATGTCCTGTACACAGCTTCGCGGGTGATAGTACCCTCTATACCGCCTTCTCTTCCAGGGCTCCAATACCGGCCAGGCAAATCAGAAACGGACGAGGAAGAAATGTTGATAACATAAATATGGACTTGGCAACAATTCTCCAATAGGGATCCAATAACTTGGTAGATTTCAAGCTAACAAAACACGATCATGCCTTTTCTCTAGAAAAGTCGATCACACTATGCTCAACATAAGCTTGTCAGGAGTAACCATACCTTTGAAGACATTCATTTCGATGCTTGGTATTACTATCAGCACTAACCGGTCTTAGGAAAATCACGTGTGATCAATTGCTAAAAGTGCATCTCAAAAACTTGGTTCTCTGTTTCGGGCCAGCAACTATTTCACTCCCAGTCAGCTGATCTATAAGGCACAGATCTGACCTGTCCTGAAATACTGTTCCCATATTTGGAGTGCAGCACCTAAACATACCCTGAAACTGTTGGATTCTATCCAAAATAGAGCAGTTCGTCTCGTGGGTGATAACTCACTCGCAAACTCACTCACTTCTCTGAAACACCGTAGAAAAGTTGGCGATCTGGCTCTATTTCATAGATATTTCCATGGACGATGCTCTTCTGAAATATCAACAAATGTTTCTCCCGTGGCAGTCCCCGCGAGATTAACCCGTCGAGTTGAGGCTTCGCACCCCTTCGTGGTCACTTTGGAGACCTGCAGAACATATATTTCCAAAGACTCGTTCATCCAACGAACAGCGAGGCTCTGGAACACATTACCAAGGGTGGTGTTTCCCGAGGCATATGACCTCCGGAAATTCAAGAAAAACACCAAATCCTACCTTATTCTCGTTGGTTCTCACGATGTTCTCTGAATATTACAGGATATATTCCTTTTCGTGGCAACAAAAAAGTTGAATGTTGGTCAACTTCTTAGTGTACTAATGTGACAGAAATGTAATGAAAATGTATTAATGTTTTGCATGATCGCATTCTATAAAATATGAGGTCTCAATTTTCTCAATTTATAATATGTAATGAAGATGTAATTATAGTGACTGTTGTATGAATCGGCCTTTTACTCCAGAATTTTTGAGATTTTCTCTCCTAGTTTATCTGAATATCACTGTGATTGAAAATGTTCCTGTATTTTGTGATATTTGTGACTATTTTTGGATCAAAAATTAGGGATATGATCATTTTTGTATGAAAATGTTTGTCTCTAATTTGTAGGATATAAGGTTACTTTTTTGTTCACAAAAACAAATTCGTATAGCATTAAATAGATTTTTAACAGGTCTATTGAAATCTACTGAATTTTTGACAAGGTATTTACTGATGGAATAAAAATCGAACTGGCAACCCTAGTCCGCACGGAGAGTGAACTGACAACAACTGTGTGGTTTGCTGTTGTCAAATCAATTATTCATGAAATCCGATAGATTTCACGTGTGAATAGGACTGTGATGTGAATATAAATATTTGAGGTCGACGAAAAAATGTAATATGCACCCTGGCGAGAAACTGTCTATTGTCTCGCCTGATTATTGCTAGCCTCGGCTTAGGCCTCGGCTATCAATTTGCAGACTCGACTATAATAGACAGTGTTTCGATCGTCCTTGGTACATAAATGACTATATATTACACACTGATTTACCACTAACCAAACCGACACCTCGACACGTACGCGTTTCGCTAACTATGTTAGCATCTTCAGAAGATTGAAAACTGCCAGTGTCGAGGTGTAGAAAATCGGTTTGGTTAGTGGTTAAATAGTGTGTAGTGTATTATCGTGCCAAAGGTTCCAGTCTTCGATATACAATGTGACCCACTTCTAATGGAAACACCCCTTTATCTTACGTAATCTTTGGGTAGGGATCCTGAAACTTGCTAGAGCGAGAGATATACCAAAAATGCACTCTATGACCAAGTGGGGTCATCTTAAGTGATATACACTGCTCGCCAACAGCCATGGAACCACCCCAATTTCCGGAAAATGATATTAGGAGTCAAAATAGGTTGTAAATCACTTCGGATTCGGAATCAGGACGCCCAATTCACTAACTATTCATAGTTTTCCTAGAAAATTTTCAGTTCAGAAAAGTCAAATTTTGTCTCACTTCTCTTGGAAGCACCCCCGTATCTCACGTAATTATTGAGGTAGGGTTCTGGAATTTGCAGGAGGAAGGGAAAGTTCGAAGATAAAGTCATTACACAAAAAAAATTAGTTTTTCAGAACTGAAAATTTTCCAGAAAAAAAATGAATAGTTAGTGAATTGGGCATCCTGATTCCGAATCTGAAGTGATTTTCGACCTATTTTGACTCCTAATATCATTTTCCATAAACTGGGGTGGTTCCATGGCTGTTGGCGAGCTGTGCATATCACTGAAGATGACCCCAATTGGTCATAGAGTGCATTTTTGGTATATCTCTCGCTCCAGCAAATTTCAAAATCCTTACCCAACGATTACGAAAGATACAGGGGTGTTTCCATTAGAAGTGGATCACACTGTATATCGAAGACTGGAAGCTTTGGCACGATAATACACTACACACTGTTTTACCACTAACCAAACCAATTTTCTACACCTCGACACTGGCAGTTTGTAATCTCCTTCTGAAGATGCAAACTTAGTTAACGAAACACGTGTTGAGGTGTCGGTTTGGTTAGTGGTAAATCATTGTGTAGTATATATAGTTATTTATGTACCAAGGATGATCGAAACACTGTCTATTATAGTCGAGTCTGCAAATTGGTAGCCGAGG